TCACCAACGACCAGAACCGCCTGACTCCCGAGGACATTGATCGCATGATCCACGATGCTGAGAAATTCGCCGATGAGGATAAGAAACTTAAGGAGCGCGTTGAGACTCGCAACGAGCTGGAGTCCTATGCCTATAGCCTGAAAAACCAGATCGGCGACAAGGAAAAGCTGGGCGCCAAGCTGAGCGACGAAGAGAAGACCAAGCTGGAATCGGCCATCGATGAGTCGATCAAGTGGCTGGAGCAGAACCCCGATGCCGATCCAGAGGAATACAAGAAGCAGAAGAAAGACCTTGAGGCCATTGTCCAGCCGGTGATTGCCAAGCTCTATCAGGGCACCGGCGGTGCTCCACCTCCAGAGGGCGGCGATGATGCCGATCTCAAGGATGAGCTGTAAGGCGGCCGAAACGTCCCCCGCCTCCACCACCACCACGATGGATAGAAGATCATTTCAGACTGATAACACAATTATGTAACTAAACAACAACAACCACAAAGAAAACAACAACCAGAATGAACAGCAACAAGTACTACTACTATTATTACACCCGGCCGACACCACACCCGCCCCCGCCCACAAGCATCAATTCGACCTTTAAGGAAATTTCCAAAATTAACTTTTACTATTTTGTTTATTTGTTCTAAGCTCTAAAATTTTGAGTATCTGCTTCTTTTTTTTTTTGTCGAAAAGTAAGAAATGTAATCAGGATTCCTGTTTGTTTCCTCGCATTCCGTGTCGCAGACCCGCGAACCCCTCTCCAACCCATCCGTAATTATGTAAAACTGTACATTTTTTTAATATACATATAGACATACAAACACATAACTGTAAACACCGGAAATCGTCACAGAGATTGAGAGGGGTGAGGATAGGTAAAGCAAATGAAAAATATGTTATATGTATAAGAGAGAAAGAGAGAGGAAACGAGAAACGAGGCCGAAGCGACGAATGAAAAGAGAGCTGCGGGGCTGGCGATAAGCAAAATAATTCGAAAACAATGCAAAAAGAATATAAAAATAAATATATAAAAGAAAGATAAAACCGTAGCAGCAGCCGCAGGATGCCACAGCAAAAACACCAACCAGCAGCAGCCAGGCAATAGCAGCAACATAATGGATTCTTCGATTTTACGAAGAACTTTCTAATTTATTTAAAAATAAAATAAAAAAATTGAAAAAGTAACAATCATCGATTAATTCTCTTTACTGGCGATCATGGGATCGGGATCCAAGGGTACCAGCACTGGGGCATCCATAGCAGGTTCTATGAGACATGTCCCCAAAGCCGTGACAAAACCGCAAAGATCATTTTTGACGAGAAATACTTACTAAATTTGTCAAAAATTAGAAATCTTAAATAAGATTGAGCTTACCATTACAAAAAAAGTTTTTAAATGGTTAAGTTGAAAAAAATTAAATATTGGTGGCTTCTCAATTTTCGTTTGGTATATTTTCAGGTGAAGCCATATAGAAAATCCTTTTATACGAAATTAAAGGTCACCCACTTAACTATATTTGAACTATTTTTTGTATGTCTACGCTGTAGATTACGGGCGAACTTTCGGGTTTCTGGCCAATTGGCTCAGGAACAGGCAAGAACTAATCTAATACCTACGATTAAATTCAAATAAATATATTTTTATTGATTTTTTGTTTTCATCATTTTATTTTTGTCTTCTTTGTTTTCACCTCATCAATATTCTTCTCTATCGGATTTCATCTCTCATTTCCTTGCGCATCAACTCAAGAGCTCTTTGCTATATAATTCTTGCGCTATCGGCATCTCTCTCTCTCTGTCTGGTAAACGCTCGACTTTTCTTATTGGTTAGTGTTCGTTCCTCCTCCTCCTCATAACTTTCTTCATTGTTTTTTTTTTGTTTTGTTTTTTAATCTTAATTATTTCTTAAATACATTAAAAAAATACATAAAATATTTTGTTGGTTTTTTGTTGTTGTTGTTGTTGTTGGTTTTTCCGTTTGTTGGTTGTTGGTTGGATTTGTTGGTTTTAAATATGTATTGTATGTATGTGTGTGTATATATGTATATATAAATAAGCTAACAGTATATTGTTTATATGTTTATGTTGTATATGTATTTTATATATGTAAGTATGCACTCTCGGATCTCGAAAGAAATAGGGTAACCCTATCTACACATATATTTTTTTTTACTTTTTCTCTATATAGAATTCGGCTCACGATCAGTTTTCTTGTTTTTATTTTAATTATTTGTTTAGGTTTTGTTGGTTGCGGGTGGCGTTTTTTTTTTAACTTTGTGGCTGTAATAATTCCAATGTTTCGATCAGCATGGGGCTAGTTTTTTTTTTAGTTTTAGTTTTAAGTTTTTTGATTACTAGAAGACAAAGCGGTAAACGTGAACGGTTACGGGTGGGGAGTAGCGGGGAATTGGGATGGGAATCAGTAGAAGGAAAAGGATATGGGTAAGGAACTGGCAGAAGAAGACGCATGGGGAGACAGAGAGGACAGTGAGGTGGGTTTTATCCGGTCCGGCCACTTCTTGACTAAATAATTTGTTTGTTTTAAAAACTATTCTAAACTTGTTTAGCCGCCCTTCACTTATTAAATAAAATGCAAAGAATAAAGTTGAATGCGCTCCATGTCCTATAGGTCGTCGGAAATAGGTCTGTCTGTGAGTGTGTATTATCGATCACTTTAATCGATAAGCGATATCCAGCGTTGTTTTGTATGTTTGGATGTTGGTCCATGTCCTCGTGTTGTGTTTTTTGTGGGTGTGTGTGTGTGTGTGTGTGTGTGGGGGGGGGGGGTGTGTGTTTGTGTAAAGTGGGGGATGGTAAGGGTCCTTGTTAACGTTTTCTCTTTAATTTATTTTACTATGCATCCACAATTTAACGATGATTTAGTTTGTTGTTGGTTTTTTGTTGTTGTGGGCGTGTGGATCGTGAGTGTGTGTTGAATGTGTGGTATGCTTGGTATCGGCTCTCTGCTGGACTGTTGCTTGTTTGGGGCTGCACTGCTTGGATCTTGGGATGCGCTTAGATGCGCTTTGGAATCGTATCGATGGCATTATTCTCAGGCTCTTCGTCCTTGGGTGGCTGACCACGTTGCTATCGTTTTACCATCGAATCGGAAAGAAGACCATCGTTATCATTATCAGATCGGGTCATATTGGATCAGAGAGCGAACCACACACACACACACAAAACACATTGGAAGAGAGAGAGAGAGAGAGAGAAGAAAGTAAAAAAGAAAGCAGAAGATAAAGAGAATGTATATAAATGTGATCAAAACACACACATCTAAATATCAATCAATGAATCAGAGGTATATATGTTATATATGTAGGTAGTATGTATGTATGTTGCATGTACATATGTATGAAAGTTTATATCGAGAATCATAATAGTAGGGTTGGCATACAACCAACGAAAAATGTTTTTTTGTTGTTTTTGATAAATTGCAGGATAACGGATGTGGGAGGATCGGTTCCCAAAAACAGGAGATTTAACTCATTCGATTCGAAGCTTGGAGCAACCGTCTAGTATTGTGTGTGTGTGTGTGGGGGTGTGGGTGTGTGTCTTTCTGTACTATCATCTGTCCGTTATTCGGTTTTAGGTTTTACACAAATGTTGTTTGGTGGGGTATGCTTTGCTTTGGGGTACCACTTATATTGTAGATGTATGTTTATAGTATATCCCCCTCCACCAAATGGCAGGGCAAACCAGGCAGTATGCAGTGTGTGTGAGACGAGGTGTGCTAGGGTATGATTTACGTATGATTTTTTATATTTTTAAGGCCCAGCCACTGGATAAATTTAATATAGTACAATGCACAAGAGCAATAGTTAAAGTATGTTTAGCAGATTTATTTTATTTATCAAACAATTATTATTATTATTATTTTTTATCTGTTCGGATTTCACATTCGCATTCGGTTTGATTGGGCCAGAGGGAAAGCGGGATGTAAGAAAAAAAACGGTACTTTCTATATGTGGGCGAGCAGTACAGTGTACAGTACTGGTTGGTGCTGCAGCAGCCAGTTTTTCTTCCCTGCTGTCTGTCCGTCCGACCATCGTACTGTTGGCCGTGCCGTTAGAGTGAAATGTCATTAGTGTGGCAGGGCACTGCGCTAGCGTCGTCGTTGCTTGTGTTTTGAAATTGGTGCAAGTGAGTTTTATAGATTAACAGTTAAATAGGTGTGTTCATGTACTGATGGAAAAAGTGTGATATGGAGAGAGAGAGAGAGAGAGAGAGAGAGAGAGTAGGAGTAGGAGTAGGATTAGTGTCACGCACAACGACGATCACTCAGCCTCAGCCTCGGGGTCGGGACGACTTAGGATCTCCTGACAGAGTGCAATATAGTCCTAGATACAGTCGTAGTAGATTCATAGCATAGTGGGCATGAAAAAAGTGAAAATAAATTAAAAGTAAAGCAAAAAGGAACATCAAACATGGAACATGAAACATTGAGCATGGCACACGACACGCGACATGGAACAGTCCCTTGAAACACTTCGATTCGATTTAGCTCAAGCATGGATGGGATATGGCGGCATCGTATAATGGATTATGAGATTGTGGTGAGGGAGGCGATGGGGAAGAGATTGGCAAAATGATAGACTGTGATTTGTATTAAATATCAGTTTCGTTTTTATTTTTAGTTATTGTTATTATTACTTTTGTTCTCCATTATATTCATTTTCTTGTTGTTTCGTCTACATCATTATCTTCTATCTTCTATCTTTCGTTCACATCGATCATTTATTAATTGTAAACAGTTTTCTGCAATCTCACATTAAATTATCAACGCTCCTCGGCACTCTTTCGATCTCTATATAGATTCTCATATACATATCTATATATAAATATATGTATATGCATATGTAGATATATACATACATATATGTACATACTATATATTATATAATTAATTCCTAATTTGCTTAAAAAAAGTTTCTCAATTTATTGTATAGGTGTTTTTGTTTACTCTTTTTTTTTTGTCGTTCGTTTGTTTTGTTTCGCAACTTCTTCTTTTTTATAATAATTAATCGTTACGCAAATATTAATATTTCATGTCTTAACAGAAAAAAAAATAAAAAAAAATTATACAATTATATATTTGTAGGTATTATTACGTTTTGGCAGATTACAAAATGCAATGCAATATTCAAATTCAAATTCCAATTCAAATTCTTTTCAACAATAGTACAATTCTGAAGTTCTCTGCGAGTACAGGAAATGCGTTTAGAATGTATAAAAACAGAAGAAACACGATGGCGCGGGCGTTTGGGTGTTTGGATTTTGCAACTATTCTGAAAATTTTGGACCCTCTTACAGAACTAAAACTAAACTGGTGGTGGTTGATGTGGCGGTGGCAACACAACACTTTCCTCTACTTGTACAATAACTAGAACAAGGTCAAACAACCATTTACTGGGGGAAAAACTCTACGAGTACACATTACACTACTGATCGCAGTACACACTCCGCACAAGCGGGTGCCTTTATTTCGGTATATTGTTAAGCGCTTCATTCTCTCTTTCTCTTACTCTTTCAGTTTTGATTGATTGTTTGGTTTTCAATTGTTTGCGATTATAATTGTTATAAAGGTATTATTATTATTGCTTTTGCGATGAATAAGGCAACACTTGCCGCAGCCCACAGTGTTTCCGCATGGAAGTTTGTCTCCTTTTCTTGTTTGTTTGAGAATGTTGCGGATTTGCTTTTGTGCTTTGCTATGTGTGTGTTGTGTATTTATGTGTGGGTTATGTTTATGTTTTATGTGTGTTAAGGATCTGTGCAGTGGCTGCTCTCTGCTCTTTGTTTCCGCTACTACTACCAGTTGGATCTCCCTCTCTCACTTTATTTCTCTCTGTCTCTCGCTGTTACCTGCTGACTCTCTATTTACTCTTGGGGTATCTTCATCTAGTAAATCTTCATCTTGGAAATATTTTTCTTGGGGACCCCCTGTGCTGAATTCCGACACTGTGAAATTTGACATGAAGGGTGTGTACGTATCGAATTCGATTACTTAATTTTTCCTGTTCTGATCAATCTTATTCAGCAAAGAGCACACTCAACAGGGCTATTGAGATGGCCCGTTTTACTCTAAAAACGATAACGATGAAAGAGAAAAACAATCCGTTGGAGATTACATTGGACCTACACATGCTGCTGCTTCTGCTGCTGCTTCTGTTGGAGCCGGAGCCGGAGCCACTGAGCTCTTTTCCGCCATTGAAATGTGTGACGAGAGGGATGACCATGTATCGGATTCGTCAACATAATTTTGGGCATAATAGCATGCGGAACACATGGTGTGCGGTGTGTCTGGGCGTGTCCCGTCTTGATTGTTGTTTTTGGTCGATTCTTGGGAATTCTTGAGTTCTATGTGCTATGGGGTGTAGGTTGGGAGTTTGGGGGATTAGGAGGCATTTATACAGGATTATCATTAATAATTCATTTATCAATGCGTCTAAATATGTAGTCTTTTTGTTACTTTTGTGTCTGTGGCTAAGTGTGTGGTGTTGTTGTGTGTGTCTGTGAGTTATTATTATTGCTGTTTTTGCATTGTTATCTGGAAGTACTACGTTTCTCATATATATCGTTGTATATCGCTAATGTTAATTACTCATTTTTCCCATTTAATCATCATTCTATCATTCTATATATCTATCTTGCTCATTCTCATACTCGTTCTATTGCTCATATTTACTGTAGGTGCGTTTGTGTGTTCGCATATGACCAGTGTTGTGAAATGCCAAGGCGTGAATATCATACAAAACGCACAAAACATACATACATACATCCGAATGACAGAAGAATAACACACACAATGCTACAGTACAGTACAGGACAAACATATTTTAAATAAACAAAATCAGTTATTTATTACTTAGCCAAACGCATATGCAATACATGTACGGTGTGGTTTTGTGCTGATTTTGGTTATGTTCACTTCTATGTATAGTAGTGTTAGGGTATGGCTATATGCATGTGTGTGCATGTAGGCATATGTATGTAGTTATGCATTTTAGAGCGCAGAGCCAGTGTTTTTTTATACTTATGCTAAAATAAAAACCTAACATAAAACATAAAAACATATCCTATACATATGTTTAGTTCCCATTCAAATCTGACAAAGAAAATATATACACACATACATATGTATATCGCTGATAAAAACCTAATCAAATTTAATTTGTTTTTTTTTTTTGTAACGTGAACTAAGTGTGATTGCATGAGGAGTTTGGTCTTCAGTGTCCCAGTGACTGATGATGGAAAAACTGTATAATGAATAAGTGAAATCTGCATATGACGGAACGAGCGTGCGTGCCTGTCTGGTGTACCTCACATCATATCATTTCCGCACACGTTTTGACTCATAATTGCAGTTATTCTTCTCTACTAGACACTGTTTCCTTGTGTTATTTGTTAATACATTCTACTAATCGTTCGCGTTTTTGTTGTCAGTTTTGTTGGTTTTCAATCAATATAAACGCAATTGGATTCTTTGCTCCTGGCGCTCAAAACCTCTCAGTACAGAAGTTGTTCTTGTCTCTCTCTCTCTTCTTTCCACTTTTATCTTATTCTCTGCAATTCTACCATGTCTCTCAGTGTGCCGTGTTGTTGTTCTTGTTGTCTATTGGTCTTCCCGTTGCAAACTATTTTTATACCCGGTACTCGAAGAGTAACTAGGGTATATTGTATTTGTGTGAATAACGGTTGTATGTAACGCACAGAAGGAAACGTTTCCGTCCCCATAAAGTATATATATTCTTGATCAGCATCAATAGCCGAGTCTGTCTGTCTGTCTTGTTTGTTTGCTAGTTATCAGCGACTATAAGAGCTAGAGCCACCAAATTTTGCATCCAACCTGTTATATGCTCACACAAATGCTCCCAAATCTACAATTTTGAAGATAAAAGAAAACTAAAAACGCCGTTCCGTAGGGAATGGCCATATCTATCAGATCACCAATGGGATCCGATTGGATCAGTATTATAGCCAGAATGAAGATATTAATTTGCAATGGCTAAACCCACCCTGTCCAGCAGCTTTTGTTGTTCTTTTCACATTCTCTCATTCACACTCTGCTTCACTCGGCCTCTGCCGTCAGTCTGCCTCTGCCGACTTTTAACCCACCCCGTCCCGCTGCTTATATTTGTTTTTTTTTGTGTGCGGGCGCTGCCTCTGCCACTGCCGCGAGTCTGCAGTGTGTGGGTCTAGGGAAGGGCGGCGAGCTAAAGGAGCGTGTTGGTGTGAGAAGTGTTGTAGATGTAGATGACAGTTGAAGACAAAATTGAAAATTTTACAAAACACCTCTAAGATGCAGATGTAGTACTGAGTGCCGGGTATAAAAGTTGTGACGCGTAAGAAGCGTCTCACATGTCCCTTCTCGTTTGCTATATTTTGTTTCGTATTTTTTTTGTGGTTTTTAATTTTGTTTTGTTTTTCAGATTTTATTTGTTTGTATATGCAATTGAATGGATTGTTGTTGTTTGTTGTTGGTGTAGTTCTTGTGTGTTGTTGTTTGTTGGTTGGTTGAAGGTGCGTATATGCGTGTGTTGTTGTTTTTGTGTTGTTTGAATTAGTTTTTCTACACACACAATGTTAGATTCGATCGAACAGATCGTTCGGTTGCAGATCGAACATAGAGGAGATTGGTTGACCGACAAGGGGATCGATCGTGATCGGTTGTCGTTCGGATTTTGTGGATTTATGACCATTAGGTGGGTTTTTTTTCGATTAAATTGGTTGTTTTTTTTTTTTTTTTGTTTGTTGTTTGGTGGACGTATGTTTGGGGAGAGAAAACAAATATAAAAAAAGATATAATATATATATATATATAGTTTATAGTTGACGCTTAGTTCAGATATAGTTTGTACTTATGAAGTATGGTATAGGTATTATGGAATTCTCTGGTGTTAAAAGAAGTGAGGATTTTAGTCATTAAGAAGCCAACGAAAGAACACAAAAAAAAAACCAGGAACCGCAACTGTTTTAAGTTTTAAAATAAAAATTGCAATCTAAAAATTATGTTCAAATTGTTTATTTGCAAGTTACAAATAACACTTTTTTTCAATGGAAATCAGAAGTAAGGCTTGTTTTCAATAAATATTTTTAATGATACTAATAAGAGTTCTTTGTGCCTTTTTTAATAAAAATAAAAGTTATTTTAATTTTGTCCTTCAAAATTTAAAATAATATTTATTCCGTAACTTTTATTTTAAAAATCAAAAATAAAAGGTAAATTGGTTATCCTTTGAGCCGAGTGGTGTATAATCATAAATGTATACACTTTCCTGATTAATGAATATTAAATAATCACAAATAACTCTTTTCAGTAGTTTTAAAAATAGTAATTTAAATATCTTACTTTTTATTTATATTTATAATATCAAAAATTAGAATAAAAAATGATTTATAATATATAAATCGTAAATAGAAATTGTTGGCTGGACATAGCTAATTATGTGTGAAATGTATTTCCTGCACATTGATTTATTTATTTACAATTTGCATTTAGAACTCTTAATTGCGGTCCCTGCAACAAACTAAGTAGTTATGAATTGATCGTTTTAGAATTTGTGTGTAAATTATTGTGAGAATAATATAAAGCTAGTTAAGGTTTTAAATTTACCGCTCGTAGTGGCATTTTGAAATTGGCTGCTGCCTGCAGCTGAATTTGATAAGCTAAGCTGTGAATTTTAAAGCCATACAGCCTGTTTTTTGTTGATTGGTTGGTTTGCATTGGTTTTGCAAATTTCCATTCGGGAGGAAACGCATCAAGATATAGAGGAGAAGAATTCATAATCAAATTATTTGAATGGCTTTTGTCATTAGATTGCTGCATGGGCAACTGACGTGGCGGACAACAAGACTCACCGTGGAACAAATTGGTTAGTAGGACGCTTGGGCCGATACTCGGGATGCACCATGAAGAGCATGTGTGGAAATCCAGTACCAAAGTAGGCGCCGTCAGTGTGATGATGACGTGACGATTTTGGTGTATAGACATCAATGCACTTTGGGCAATAGGTCTTCACCATTGCCTCACCGGGTATGTCCGAAAGGCCTGAAACACAAGAAATAGGTTTCAAGATTAGTTATTCGATATCGGGAATGTCAGGATCAAGTTAATAAAAAACAAAAATGGTTATCTGCATAGTTGTAATGTTTGAATTGGTGACACATCTGCATATCTGGATAATCGCGAGACTGGCTCTTAGCCAGCAGAAGGCAAGTCTCAAATGACATTTAATCATTTGATTCCCATTTTCTGGATGGCAGCCGCTTGTTTGATGATTCACATTGGGATCGGATTTTTGTATAATTAAGAGCCAGACTTGGCTCAAGTACGGGCCTTGCAAAAAATAAATAAAGATTGTCGCGACATTTGAGACCATTGATAAATGATCGGGCAGACTGGCACTCACAAATGTTAATATACACAAACCATTCAAGAGGGGCCTAGCAATGACAATTCAGCGAAAAGCTAAAAGGAGCATATCTTCAAATAGAAGGGAATCCATTTTGGGATGGTAATTCGATGCAATTATCGATGATTCAGCAGCAAGAAAAATAATAGTGGAAGGGCGCAACCAATTGGCTAGACATTTGGTGCTTCAAATATGCATATTCAGCAGAAAAAAACACGTATTGGAGGGATATTTGAGGGCGCCCATAAAGCGCTCAAGGATCGAATGGGGGGAGTGACAATGATTGGATGGTACTACATACCCAAAGGCAACATTGGCTGGCTTTCACAGTAGACACGTGGGCAGTGTCCGAAATCGCCAGTTTGATATTTCTCAATCATTTGAGCGATGCCGCGATTTGTTAATATATATCTAGCGTGTATGAGGCCATAGAGCATCTCAGCGGCCTGTTCGGTCATGTCCGACTGCAAGGGATTGTCCTCCAGTTCGTCCTCTGTGGGGGGTAATTGAGAAATGGTAAAAGTAAGTGAACATAATTCTTCGATTGGAGGGTTCGTTGGGACACTTACCCGGTTCTAGATCTAGTATCATGTCCAAGGCTTGCCGATAATTGGGCACCTGCTCATTTAATCCAGTTAAATTAAATTTATCCTGTATGTAGTCCTCATCAACCTGGAGAGAAAGAGATCACACAATAGAGAAATGAATTAATTTCGAGAAATGAAGGAAGGCACTAAGCGGTGTAATGAGCGCGACTGTGTGTGAGATTGGAGGGTGTCGCTTCTGTACAGTTGGACACTTTTGTGCCCCACCTTGTGGCACACACCCAAACAGCCTAAACGGCATAGTACGCAACGACACTGGGCTGCCTGCATTTGGCTTTGCAATTGTTGCACCCGCGCTGAAGGAGAGCGCGCGCTCGACGTCTGCTGCCGCCGTTGCCATTGCTTTCGCCGCACACCCGCCGCGCGTCGTCACCCGTCACCCGTGGCTAGCGCCAGCCTTCTCTTGCTTAGATAACAGCTAGATTCCAAATTGAATTTAAACCAAATACATCTATTCCACTTACCTCACAGAAGAACTCGTTGCCACGAAGCCCACAGAACCAGGTGACCCAAGAGACTTCCTCGGAGCTGCTCATTTTGCTGCGGGTTCGGGTTGGGAGGAGGAAGAATGTATACAATATATCATTATTAGGCAGTTTCGAAGCAAATGGAACCCTGGGATCATATCATAGGTCCTTTGCCGGACACACACACACACACAGAGATTCACACGCACATTTGCGCACACATTCACAACATTGATGGATGCACATGTGTATTGTATATTGCAGAGTATTACATACATTATGGGGATTATTTTGCGTAATTTGCCTGGCAAACGAATTTATTGTTGAAATACCATAGAACGTGAAAGCCGGAGGGGGCCGAGCGGTTGGCGGGCGGAGCGGAGCAATGCGGCGCGACAGCGGGAGCTAGGGCGGGGACGGTCCGATGAAGAGGAAAGGTGTGGAGCGGTGCGGTGTGATGTGTGAGGGGTCGGCCGCCGGAACGTGACGATACGTTATGGTACGGTACGCGGTTGCACGTCAAAAAAAACAACGTAACTTAACGAAAGTAAACGAAGTGAATTTTGTCCACGAGTTTTTTTTTCGTTTTCGTTTGCTTCTTTCTTGGAATTATGCTCGTCTCGCGGTGGCTTCTTGTTGCTTTTTCACCGCCACGATCTTTCAACGTTGCGCGTGTTGTAAGTGATTTGATGCTTTTACTGCAGCACACACACGCCTAATCGAATATTCCACTGATTTGCGATTTCGAAAGCTGAGTAAAAAGGAAGTCAATTTAAATTTCTCGTATTTTGACAAGCGCTCATATAAAATGTGCCGAGCAGCAAGAAGAAGAGCACACTGGTGGAAATTGAGAAAAAAAGAGACACATATACACACATGCACACGAACGCACACACATACGCATCCACCAACACACACGCGCGCACACACACACAGAGAAATGCACGCACGGTTTATACAATTTAGTACTTAATAGTTTCATTGTTTGCTGGTGGCTGGGCCTGTTGCTGCTCGTCCATGGCGGTTGGAAGACTCACCTAAATTATTATAAATTATATGAATTGATTGGATTTTGCAAGGCAGCAGAACCGGTAAAGGCAAATATTGTAGCGAAGACGGAATCAGGTATGAAACTCGCATTTATCGATAAGTGCGTCAATTTGTGTTCATCGATATATGTAAAACTGACAACCACTAGACTGACCAGCCTGCTCAATCCGCCTACATCACATTAGTGTGGACGTATACGAATACCGTAAAGAGTAAAAAAGTGTTCGGTCAGCTGTGTCGCACGTTTTCATTTCCATTCGCTGCTTGCTGTTAGATTTTTTAACATGGGAGGCCACCACAAGAAGAATCTGCGTGCCGAGAAGGCCAAAGTAAAGCTCAAGGGAGCCAAGCTGCCCAAGGGTCTCAATGTGACCAAGACCGACTTTAAGGTGCGCAAGATCGAGATCCGAGAGCAGCTCAAGGAGACTTCGTACACCGAAAGTGGCCAGCGGCAGCTCAACCTTAAGGAGACCCTGTCCCGGCTGAAACATCACAGCTTCAAGTTCCGCACGGATGCCATGCGCAATGTGCGTGAGTCGGTCAAGTCCGGCCAGGCCGATCACCTCATCGGCCACCTCAACGAACTCTTTCAGGGCATCGCCGCAGGCGCCCTCGACATGGAGCACAGTGTGCGCCAGGAGTCGTTCAAGACACTCGATGTGCTGCTGGAGGTACTGCATCCACAGGCTGTGGCGCCTTTCTTCCATGTGATTTCGACCTACCTCAAGTGCGCTATGACCCACATCCATCCCACCATACAGGAGGATTCGCTTCTGATGCTGGACGTGCTGATGCTGCGAGTGCCACCCTCACTGCTGGCGCAGCGCAGTGCCAGCACCATTGTGGGAAACTTTATTGACATGATCTCGCGCTCCCGCCACGACAACGAGAAGTCAAATCGCTCGCTCACCATGAACCTGGGCCACGGCAAGCAGACGACCGTCAAGTGGCGGACCAAGGTGCTGCTCCGCCTTCAGCAGATACTTGCCACATTGGCGCAACACAGCGCCAAGACAGCCAGCACCAAATATCCAGTTCATGTCGTCCATTTCGATGAGAATCGCGCAAACTATTATGGTCTGCTTAGCCCTTACGCGCAGGACACCCGCGACTTGTATGCCATCCTCCACGAGCCCAAGCTGAGCGCAGAGGGTGCCCAGCTGCAGACGTATGTGGAGCAACTGATGCCCCTGCTGCATGACAGTTGGCTGGAGGTGAGGCCGCAGCAACAGCAGCCCCTTCTGCCGCCCGATGCCTCGGCCAGCCTCTACGTTGTGGTCAACCTGATAAGCCAGCTGTGGACGCTGATCAACCAGCACGAGGCAGCGAACAGCACCAACGAGTTGAGCCTCTGGCTCAGACAGAATCATTCTAAAAAGTTTCTAAAGAACTTCCTCGAGCAGGACGGCAGTCGCTTCCCCTACCAGCAGATGCCGCACACTCAGGCAAAGGGCAAGAAGTTGGCCAAAGAGAAGGGTCCCGCCGACGGCGGCGAGCAGTGCCTGCCCCAGAACATGGCCATTGTCCAGATAGCCTGCCAGTTCTACCCAGATCCGAGCGAGAAGCAGGCCACGGTCTTTGCCCACCTCGTTCAGTATGTGAACGAAACACTGAAGCAGCTGGAAAAGCTAACGCCGGAGCACCAGCTGCCTCTGGTCGCCGCCCTGCGTTCGCTGCTGCTGGACAATTCGCTGGCGCTGCACAATCTGATACCAGAGCAGTTGACGAGTCTGCTGGATGCCTCCATGCTGGCGTATGTCGAACAGCGCTATGCCACACGTGAGGGTGTCTCCACCAAGATGCTGAGCCTGCTCTGCGAGATTGTGCAGCAAACGGAGCTCTACAAACGCTTTGGCGGTGAGGAGCGTTTCGCCCTATTTCTGGGCTATCTGCCGGAGCTGCTGCTCAAGCCAACGGTGGCCGAGGGAACGCTGCGTGCCATGGCCACCCTTTGCCGCCAGATGAATGCCATTTTCATGTCCGCCCTCGTACAAAGCTCTGCTGATATTCTTCTCCACCTGTCGCAGCTTCAGGTGACGGGCAATGCCCAAGGCGAAGACAAATTTGAGAATCAAAAGCGTATCCTCAATCTATTCTACTATGCCCGAACATGTGACACAAAGAACCAACTGAAGAAGGCGCTCAGGCAGCTGGCCAAGCAGCAGAAAAACGACAAAGACGAAGATGATTCTCCCTCAAATGAACAAATTTTCAGGTACTTGCAGTCGGTGCTGGCGTTTGACTAACCAACCCATTCAAATAGTTTATAAATCTAGTTTATACTCTAATATATTTTCTCTCAATTAATGATGGAACTCCATTCAGGTTTTGTGCTTTTTTTGGGGCTTCGGCTTGAAACGATCCAGGACAGAGCGTGGGGGCTTTGGCTTTGAGTCCCCTGCCAACTCCTTGCTGCTGCTGTGCTGCTTGATCACGCTCTTCTTGGCCTGCCTCACCTCCGCTATAAACTCCTGGAAAAAATGAAATACAAACCAGATTCAGTGGATGCAGTTTTAGGCAGATTCCGATTCAGATTCACTTACCTTTCGCTTTGTATCTTTCACAATCTGCTTGTTGCGCGATGCCTTGGCAGTGCCGCCGCGACCCTTCATCTTGCGTCGGGAATTCATGCGTATGGCTGGTGGCTTGAGGTGGAAGAGCTGTCGCTTGGCATCGATCTTCTCCTGCAACGTGGGCGCATCGACGCCGGTGATCTCATTGGGATCGAGCGTGATCAGTTCGGGTGGAATCTTTTCGAGCAGGGCGTGCACCTCGTGCTCGCGTCGCTGCTTGCTGGTCTCATACGGATTGTCCTCGAGGGCATCGTAGTTGGGCTCACCGGAACCAGGCACCAGCACCGAGTGGAAGCCCTTGGCCGTGGATAGACCCAAAACATCCTCGTACGGACAGAAGCGCAGGCCATGGACAAAGGCATCACAGCGCTGGCGGAGATAGGGCAGCTTGGTGCGATCCCCAGTGCCGCCGCCGGACAGCAGATCCGTGTAGGTCTCCATATAGTTGCCCTGGGACAGGGCCAGCATGCCGCGCTGCGACACATCCAGCTCGTTGGCTGGCAAACGCAAGCGGAAGAGGGCCAGCGGCTGGTCGTTCAGCATGCGGATGTCCCAGACCTTGACGTTGCGATCCAGGCCGGCGGTGACCAGATGCAGGCCCTTGGGGTCCACCGTCATGGCCGTCATCGCTGTCGAGTGGCAGAGCAGCTTTGCCAATGGCTCACGCACCTTGGGCGACCACATGGAGACGACGCCACGGCTGCCACCCACGCACAGGACACCGTTGCTGGGATTGTGTCGCAGCAGGCGTATGTCGCCCAGGCCGGTGTTGAAATTACCCACCAGCTCGCCCATGGAGACGTCCAGCCAGGAGGCATAACCCGCACTGTTGCCGGCAGCCAGAAGGAAGTGGTAGGGCAGAAAATCAAGTCGATTCACGTTCGTCAGGCGCTTGACGCAGTGCAGCTCCGTGCCCTTCTTGTCGTAGAAGTAGACCCAGCTCTTCTGGGCCACCGCATACATGGTGGGAACGTGCAGCCACTGGACATCGGCCACGCTCTCCATCACATTGAATTCGCAGTGGAGCTTCTTGGTGACCCAATCGAAGGCGGCGACATGGCCACGCCTGCCGCCCAGAAGCAGATGACGTCCGTTCTTTGAGTATCGCATGGTGTAGGGGCCGAACTCCAATTTAAGTTGGAAGTGCTTGGACGCCGACTGCAGATCCACATTGGCCGCAATCTGCTCCTGGCGATACTCGGCCGTTATCTCGCCCTCGTCGGCACCCAACTGGCCGGCGGTCTCCTGCAGCAGCAGCTCTGTGCGTGCCGCCTGTTCTGTGGCATAGTCCAGGTACACCTCCTTGCGCTCTTGCTGCTCCTTAAAGTGCCTCGTCTTGACGCCGCGCGCCTCTACCTTTTCACCTCGCGAGTACTTGGCCAGCAGCTCCGGTGGTACGTGGCTCTTCCGGGCCTCGTCTGGGTCAGTCGCCTCGGCTTTGACCTTGTTGGGACGCAGTGGCTTGCTGGCTTTCGACTGCGTTTGCATTCTGATGAATTCCCCCACAACATTTTGTTGATTCTTGCGCTTTAACTTGACTGGCTGCAAGCCAGCGGTGTCGCCATCGGCAGCGGCATTGTCTGTGTCGAAATAGCGTTTGTAGGGTACCTTGGGCTTCGCGCGCCCTTTCGGTGGGGCCTTGGACATGGTGCCAAAGCTATAAATTAAAGAAACTCTCAAAAACAAAAACGAAGTTTTAAAACAACGTGCACGTGCTGCAGTGTGACCGCAGGCTATTGATCAAATATACCGTCTGATCCTAAGAAATTTACCTAAATATACCTCTCATTTTGGAAAAATACCGCAAACAGCTGTGCTCGATGGACAAAAACCCGCAAATAGTCGATAAGAAAACTTGTTGAGCTTATCGAAAATCAAATTTAAATTTATTCAATTATTTAAAGGCTAATTAAATGAAGGTTCTTAGTATAATGCAACGAAAAGACATCAAAATACATTTTAAGCTCGAACAGAAAGTGCTTTCAAGGTCTTTTCAACTAGTTGTAGGCGATTCAAGTGTTTTTAAAGTTAAAACTTAATTTGGTACGATACTCGTTAGACGAATTTGAAGGTTAACGCCACATCAGTCTATGGGAAGCGTAAATCAATCTAGATTCTAGAACAAACTAATAGACACGCCCATAGGGCAGTGCATTGGGATAATAAGGCATTAAAAATTTGGCCCCAAAACGGGGCTGGGACTGGGCCGACTCGCTGCTCGAGGAGAACATTGATGTACAGATATCGGCCCGATCGCGATGCAGGCGGCTGCTGCTGTTCGACGTGCTCGTTCCGGCCAGGCCCGTACCCGTGCCAGTGCCAGTGCCACTGCCCAGTCCTAGTCCAAGGCCAAATCCTAATCGAGCGCCATGACGACGCTCTCGGCGACGCGTGCGTATCAATGAAAAGATGGCCACGACGACGGCCACCAGGAATATCAATCCAAGAATACAAAAGGAAATGGCCAGCTTTGAGATGGACAGACAGAGAGTGCCCTCACCCGGCAGCGGTCGCACATGAGGTGCATAATCCTCCACTGAAATGAGTCCACGCATTGTGAGGCTGCGTAGCGGGATGTGGCTGGGGATTGCACTTACCGCTCATGTTGTACCGCCGGTCGTAGCGCAGGCGATCCACTTCGATCTGCGGCGCAGTCACGGCCAGCGAATTGAACACCTCAATGCGTGCCAGGTGCTGGTCGGCACTCAGCTGCAGCTGTTGCTGCTGCTGCTGCTCGGCGAGGCGACAATTCAGCTTGAAGAAGATTCAAAAATTAGAGTTTTATTCGAATGTGTAATGGTAATGGGTGACGGTTGCCTCCTCCACTTTTCAGCTTCAGTTGAGTGCGTCTTGGTGCAATAACCACATTAATTAGCAGACGCAACAGCACTAAATCCTAACACGCTACGCTGGGCCAGTGCCCAGTAGAAGCCGGCAGCAGGGCAACACTTTCGTTTTTCATTGCAAGTCGCAACCGAACAATTGGTACGAACAAACTCGTATATGAGATGCATTATATTGGGCCTTGTTTCAACTGCTACATATATGAATATACTTATTGTGGTACTGGTACTTACATTCGGACACTTCCCCTTGCATAGCTGCACGCCACAGCTAACATGCAGGCGCTCGCGATCGGGAAACTTGAAGGCGGGAAATGTGGCCGCAAACGTGCGCTCGACCAGATCTTCCTCGTGCTGCTTTGACCAGCCCTCCTCGGCTGGCTTGTGGTGTGTATGCAGAGCGGGCATTACCTGCAACAGTCCACAATGAGAATTTTAGACTCTGAGTCTCGGGTCAACACTTTTTCGGGTGTACAAAGTGTTCCTGAACCTGAACCTGTCTCTGTCCCTGTCCCTGAACCTGAACCATTACGTTTTAATGATCGCTTATACAACATGATATACATGTGTGTGTGTGTGTGTGTGTGTGTGTGTGTGTGTGTGTGTATGGTGGTGACAAAATCCCGCGCTAACCATTCTCTCGCACGCTCTCACATTTGGCCATTTCCGTTACGTGCGTACTGGTACATACATACATACATACATACATACATGCATACAAAAAAGAAACGGTAACAAAAGTCATTTTTTGTAGCCAAGTTCAATGGCAGATTGAGATACAACTACAACGAGTACGAAGGTGGCGGCTATGCTGTGCTCTACGTAAAGCAAATGTATGAAATTACAAGACAATGTGATTTACATCTCGTCTTGCAAGCCATTGTTGGCTAGCAAGTAGGAAAACCGAAAGAGGGAACCCCGTGGCACGTTGATTAGCCTGGTGATGATGTCTGTCTGGTTTCAATTTACAAGACCCCCAAAGAGCACGTGTTGCCGCATGTGTGTGGGTGGGTTGTGGGGTGGTTGTGTGACTGCGAAACTTGAGACAATAACAACAAGAGCAAATTGTTGAGGAAGTTCAAACGAGTTCACGTGCAGAAAGATGGTAAATATGTAACCAAGTGTAAAGTGGATCGAAACGGATGAAAAATTGTTGAATTGTTGTCTTCCGGCCACTCAAAGATTTGTATTCATTGGTATACATATGTACATAGGGTTAAAGCTGCAATAATACGGCTCAAACCCGATATAGAATTCAAATTCTCATCGCAAATGGGTCGCAGGATCTATCGACATCGAGTATCTGCTGTCGCAACGGTTCTAAGACCACGAGTTGTTGTTGTTGTTGTGGATCACATTCTCTAAATAAAAAGAACTGTGCCATCGCTGCGCGCGCTCAAACAAACAAAAGACAAAAGTTTGTATTTCACTTTTCTTCCACGCTCTGACCCAGAAATGTTTCTAAACCAAACAAATCAACTTGTGATGGTTGTGCGCATAAATTTGCAATCTGGTCGCGGGGCTAAGGGGCTAAACCAACGCAAAAGAAAATGAAATGTGCTAAAACGGAAGGTAAGTCCAAGACAAGACAGAGGGGTAGAGACATACTCAGAGGCAGAGTCAAACAATAAAACAAACATAAAATGCAAATGGTTTCATCTGTTGCTGCTGTTGTGTTGTTTTTTCTTCGTTCCGTTAAAATAAAACAAAAATTAAGCCGTGAGATTTTTTGTTGCTGCTTCTCCAATGCAAAAGCAACAATGGCGAAGAGAAGAGCAGCGTCAGAAAAAATTTGTTTGACCCATTTAAGGCCGCAAATGAATGACATGTGCATAAAGCTGCGACGCTGCCGCCGCCGCCACCACCGCACAGCCGCCACAGCGCCCCTGGATGGAACGGAACGGAATGCAAATGGCCGGACTGGCAATGGCATTGCCATGGCCCCTTCCGCTGCGTTCCGCTGGTGTTGTTGCTGGTGCTGGTGCTGGTGCTGGTGCTGTCCGGGGATAGAGATGTAGATGGAGCAACACCACCACCACCACCAACAACACAAACAACTTGATGTCAAAATGCTAAACGATAAATATTTCTGTGTATTTCACTGTTGGCTAATTGTTGTGACCTCCTAATTTACTCAAGAAGAACTGAAGCAAGAACCCAGAGAACAACAGTTCACAGGCGTTTATTTTAGTTGTTTTTCGTAGTTTCTTTAATGACTTTTAAGGGGGGCTACGGCTCGACTCCACTGCTTGGCTGGGCAACGAAAACTGTTCTAACGATCGCGTAATTATGGCTAACAGTTTTGCTGCCTGTTGCCTCCACATTTAATGCCGCGCGGGTCGGTGCTGTGCTGTAATAACTGTTACAATTAATGAGGCGGCTCTGCTGCTGCACTCTGCCGAGCCTCTGTGTGTGTGTGTGTGTGTGTGTGTGTGTGTGTGTGTGTGTGTGTGTGAGATGCGAAACTGTTTTGGCAATGTGCAAGTTCCAATACCGATTGTGGGTGTCAGAAGAGATTATGTCTAGCTGGTTGTTATTTGTGCATACTCTCTTGATACCCTCTAGATGGCTGTCGTCCGTAAAAATGAAAGTTAAATGCGATCAATCGTTGATCGCCCCACAGCGTAATCAGCATTAGCATCAACAGCAGCTTCAGCTTCATTAATTAATGACTTTTTTTGTTTTTGTCTTGTCTCGTCTGAGTCTTGTCTCTTTGGTCTAACGGTAATCACATTTCTAGCTCTACCTCTCGCGCTCACTCTCTTTCTATGTTTTGTAGAATGTCTCGCCGCTGGCGCTGGTTACGCAAATGGTTGGGGGCGAATCTCCGAGCGGCTGCAGCCACTCTGCGGGCCCGCACTGTACTCACCTGCTCGTCAATCGGACAGCCACGTGCATCGAGCAGCTGCTGCGTGGATTCTCCGAGTCCGTCGAGTGCCGCACAATCCACCACACGGACCCCAATGGTGCCGGGCACTATGGCGCGTACGGTTAAGGTGGTGGGCACGCCCACTTCCACAGAGCCAGTGCCATTGGGACCGCCCAGCTCCAGCCAAATGCGAACGCGCGGCGTGTCCATATGATGATTATGATGATGATGATGATGGTGATGATTATGTTGAGGGACTGCAGAAGGGACCGTGGAGGAGGAGGAGGAGGAGGAGGAGGAGGCCACATGGGTGGCAGACGCAGCGGCCAAGGCACGCATTCTTGCATTTCTGTAATAAATATGAATATTGCTATGGATATTTCTATGACTATGGATAAAATAAGAGATTACCTCTCCCGACCATTGTCTGTGCGCAGACCTGGCACTCCTGGCACTCCTGGCAGCGGCATGCCCATGGCATTGGCCGGCAGCTGGCACCTAACCGAGCTGAGGATATCCGTGCTTTGTCGCAGCTTTTGCTCCATCTGAAGCATCACCCGCACCGTGTACTCTATGCCGCCGTCGGCCAGCGGATCGGCACGAACGCCACAGCCGGAGGTGGGGATACGCAGCTGCAGATGGGTGGAGTCTTTGCCGCGGGATCGGCACTCCAGCGGGAAGTCCTTGGCATAGAGCAGGCCGCGAAATGGTCGGCTCAGCAGCAGCTGCATGTCCAGCATTTCCCTGCTGCAGTTCACCTGCAGCCGCTGGATTTGCATGGATGGGACAGCAGATGGAGCTAGGTTTGGGGTTGGGGTTGTGGTTGGGGCTGGGACTGGGACTGGGACTGGGGCTGGCACTGGAGACGTGTCAGTGGAAGTCGTGGCGGCGGCGGTTAGTGTCGTTCTGGTTGCCCAGCTAGCATGACACACAAAGTGCGGCAGATGCAGCAGGCCGATAACGGCGGCAAGTGGCAGCAGCCCGCGGTGTAGGCCAAAGCCAAAGCAGAAGGGGAACGGGAAGAAGAAGAACATGTTTCCGATTTCCCGTTTGCCGTCGGCCCAGGCCCGCCCCAGCGATGAGAACCGCAAATGATGATGCTACCTGCTGGATCGGCCAACACCTGTTGCTGCTTTTGCTGCTGCTTTTGCTTGATGAAGCGTGTGGCAAGTGCCTGCTGGCTGGTGTCAGTTGTTAGTTGGGGGAGTTGTGAGGTGGGCGGTGGGAGGCGGGGGGGTCTGCGTGTCGTAATTGGCCTACTCCCAGTGCGAGAAGAGAATCTGGTCGCGTCTGGTCGGATCGTCTGCGAAATAGATGATGGAAATGTGTGTACAGCTTTAGCAAACGATTTTGAGTGCAGCCTCGATTAAATGGATATTTATACATCGTCCCTTCCCAATCTTTATAGCTACATAATGGCGATGCCAATTCCGCACCGAAATCGTGTCAAGTTTGGGTGACTGGGGGGAGAGAGAGCTTGGGAGATGTTGCAGCATGGGCGAACAAATAAATAAACCAAATAAATAAATGCGATAAAAGCCAACAAGCCAGAGCTTGAATCAACATCAACATAATGCGTCTGCCTGTAACTTTGCGTAATCCCATTTGATGTTGCTTGCTGGCTGGCGTTGTCTTGTTTGCCCATTTATTGTGTCTTCAGTGTTTGTGTTTGAGCTTCGCATCTCTTATTAGCTCAATTTTGTTTGCATTTGGGCATTGTAATCATCCCAATTAACAATAAAACGTTGACTATGCAGCAGGCTCCCAAAAAGACTTTTCAAAGTCAAATCAAACAAATTTGCTCACCTTCAGCCCTTCACTTTTGTGGGTCAAATATTTAAAAGTCCTTTGTAATCCTTTGTATGATGGATTTTATTTTATTCTCAAGTTCTGGTAATATGTTGTATTTTTTTATTTATACACATCACAAGCAACAATAAAAAAAAAAACAAACGGTAATCTTTGCACAATTTTTGCGGTCAATTGAAATGGGGGAAAAAATAACTGAGAGAACCGCAATTTTTGAATTAGTTGATTATCGCCACTACGCATGCGTTCGCTTCACACGATTCAGAAATGTGCAGAAAAACAACAACAAGAAAACGAGGATATGAAATGGAGAAACACGGATTTGAAGATGAGTAAAAGAAGCCAGGGCAAACGCGCGCCACCGAGTGTGCAAATGCAATGCAGTCGTTGTTGAGCGATACGACTCGAGAAGATAGCCAAGTTAGTAGTCGGCCGCTAACCGCAAACGCGATGGAAGAAGCAGAAGACGGTCGTGGCTACGCATGCGCTGTGATTTGGCGCGGCGATATCAAGCCGTTTAAATAATTGACTATCGAATCTTGTGGGCAGTGCGATGACTTTTTCGGAAACATTGCCAGGCTGCCAATGGTGGCTGGCCACACTGTCTAATTTCGTAAGGTATAAGAATAATAGAAACGCCCACCATCGATTTCTCATTAGAAAATAGTTAGTTGTCAACCTAATTTTTAAACATTCCAACAAAAAAAGGTTTAAAAACTAGCCAATCTTGTGGTGAACTGATTGATATATCGGACAAAATCATAGTTTTAGCGCTAAGACTAGCTAGTCTTATCAAATAGAACATCAAAATCGAGGAAAATGATTTTAGATGTACGGTATATTTACAGTATATTTTGAAATTGCATGGGTATATTTCGGTATATTTCCGAGGGTCTGTCGGTATATTTGTTCGACAATACCGCGGTCACACCACCACATTTATCAAGACCATGAAGAATTTCTTAGTTTTGTCGACGAGACCTCCTTATAGTTACTTCATGATCAAGACGAACCACATCGTTGTACTATAAATTGTAAATAAAATAGCATTTCCGGGATACAACCGAAACTCGCAGCGTATCGTATCAGATGAATGTGAATATGTCTGAGATAATTGAGTTTGTGCTGCCTCCACGCGACTATCCGAATGAAGACAATGCCATTTCTGTGGGAAGTGTGGGCAGCGTCAACGAGGACGCTACCTACGTTGTGCTGGACGGACTGAGCCATGAGTACGATGAAGATTTTCTCATTGTCAACGAGGACCTGACCGAAGATGAGTTGCAGTTCGAGGAGCCCGACCATGACCAGCAGCTGGAAAACGAGCAGCAGCCCTTTACGCAGGAGCAGTATGTGGTGACGGAGCTGACGTCCGAAATGGATGAGGCGGTGGAAGAAGAGGACGGTGACGAGAATGATTTCGAGCAGCACCACACAGAACCGACTGTTTTCGAAGAGGCAGATGACCCCGATACGGAGCTGGAGGCGGAAAAAGAGCTAGAAATAGACTCTTCGTTGGAACTTGAGCCAGTGCTGGAGTCGGGGCCGTCTCCAGTGCCAGTGAAGAAAATCAAAGCCAACCCGAAATGCGTCATACGTACATACAACACCTTCGTCGACGAGGACGAGCCCCCACAGTATGTGGAGCCTAGTAAAAAATTGCTAAACATATTCAAGGGACCTCGCCGCTATTTGCTATTCGACGACCTCTTGGCCACAATTGTCGACTTCGATGAGAACACCACACCGATTGTGGAGTTCTCAATGACCACCGGTCTGCCGGACGCCAAGCTGCCCGTCGAGTGCGGCATATGCCCAGATGTGATGCACAAGTCCAAGCTGGCTAGGCATCAAAAGTTCCATCTGGTACCTGGAACTAATCGTTATTCGTGCATCTATTGTGCGGAAACGTATCGTGATTGTAAATACCTGGCCGGGCATGCCCGACGACACATGGGCATACGACCGTACGTTTGTCACGTGTGCAAGTTGTATTTCTCCACCAAGCAGGATCTGCGGGTGCACAACCAGCGGAGGCACCAGAAGAAGGAGCACGTCTGCGAGCTGTGTGGCAAAACGTTTTCCCAGAACACGCAGCTGAAGCGACATCGGGAGGCCACGCACGAGAAGAAGCGTCGTTTCCAGTGTCACAGCTGCCAGAAGGCTTACTACAAAAATTTCTCATTGCAGGAGCACATACGCAACGTGCACATGGGAAAGCGACGAATGCTGAAGTGCCCCTTCTGCGGAATGCAGTGTCGCGACGCGCACAAGATGGCCCGCCATCGCAAGGAGATGCATCTCAATCAGGGCTCGTTCGAATGCCACCTGTGCCAAGAGGAGTTCACCGACATCAATTATTTCGATGCACACAAGCGTTCTATTCAGTGCCGCACCAATACACAACGTTATATCAAGGAGCATCGTTCGGGAGAGGCGTCCGGCTCCGGGGATGCCAGTGGTCTGGCTGAGAACGATGACGAGGACGCAATGGGCTTAGAGGACGAATTTGATGAGGATGCTGGACTGCTGTTCGAGGAGGCGAGTCCCGAAGACCCCGATGACAGTGAATATGTCAATGGTACATATTTCCAAGAGGGTGATCCGCGGTACGTCCAGATATCCGACTATGACGGTCAGATAGTGGAGGGTGTTGTTTTGCACGAAGAGGAGCCAGAGGAAGAAGCTTACACCGAGGAAAAATATCACTATGACGCCATGCAAGAGAACAGCTATACAGAGCATTCTGTTGGACGGGAAATAAGCGCCGATGAGCTGATTTACGAAATCACTCTGAAGACTGAGGATGACAATTAAGTGGTGCTATGTGGTGTACCCCTATTCCCCTTCCTCCACGAAACCACAAAACCCCTAAATTTTTCGCACATTTGTGCAATATGTAAATATATACAAATTGAACATACATAAACTAAGAAGAACTTTTAACGTAAACAAATAAAAAAATATAGTAAAATAAATTAACTACCAAACAATCAAATCAATCATTCAAACTTGGCAAAGAATGCGACTATGCCAGGCAGGGCTGTATTCGGCATGGCATCAGAAACACTCAAAATGCAACCTCGCTAACGCAGGGCGGGTTAGGATAATAATGCTGGAATAGGTTGGGTCGTGTCGGAGTGGAGTCATTGTTAAGGAAAACGGAAAAGCCACGCTTGTAGGGCAAGCGTATTATGTCTAGGCAAATGGAAAATTTTCCATTCGTTTGCCATTCGCAGCGCCTGGGTGACGTCAACAAGATTATGAAGCAACTATAAAGGAGGGCCCGTCGGCTTTTTAGAGGGAAACGTAACAATGCTGTCAATAAGTGCGAGTGAACAGGGCGTGCAGAGACAGAGAGAGAGAGAGAGCAACTGTCAGCAATAATAAGAGTACAAGCTGCTCATTATTGCGTCCCACCACAGTCATGGCACTGAGCTGTAAGTGTGACTGAAACGACACTGGAGTATGCTTGAAAAACAAACTTGTCCGCGCAACTGACATCGGGGGGAATTAACCCGAGGAGCGCTTCTGACGACTGGCCCTCCTTTATAGTTGCTTCATGAACAAGATGTAAATGTATCGATACTATCGATAGCTTGCGAAATGCGACCATTCGTGCTGGGCAAAAACAAAACAAGCAAACAGCGTATGGACCTTTTAATGTGAGACGAAATAAACAAAATGTTAATACCGGGAGCCTGGCAACCTTTGATGTTTCGATCAAACATCTACTTTGAGCATAATATAGCGCTGGGTGTCAGCAAGCTGTTCACCGAAAGTTCATTTAACTACAGATTTGCAGACCCAGAGCGATTGAATCATGGATAAAGACAAGGAAGTCGAGATCAAGGCAGGGGAGTCGGATGCCGAAGCTCTGGACAGCTGGGAGACCTTCCACGAACGCATCGATTCCCTGATCGTAAACGAGCACTGCGATGCGCCCATACGCAAACTGGACGAACGTCGCCGGACCATACTGGGCAAGGTGCGCAATCAGTTCCAAACCGCACCGAAGGGCACAGCCGAGCGGTGTGCGACAGAGAAGCCACTGATCGATCAGCAGCTGGAGCTGTCCAGCCAGCGGCTAGACGAGCTGGTACGCTTTGGCGACGAGCTCGTCACCAATGTGCGTGTGGCCAATGAGCGACGAGAGCTGAACCGGCGTATGTTTGAGGCCACGCAGCAGGCGCAGACGCAGGTGATGCTGCAGCGCGAGAGCATCGAGACTATGGCCAAGTTCGAGGACATTAAGGCACGCTGGACGGAACTGGAGGATATCAACGAGCCGATGATGCTCTGGGACCAGATTGAGGACCAAAAGAAGCGCATCGCCGAGATAATGCAGCGCAAGGATGAAATGATTGACGCCTGCCAGAGGGAGGTCGATCGCATAAATGCCAAATACGACTTCGATCGGGAGCGTCAGGCACAAGACCTGTGCTGCCTGGTGGAGCGCGTTGACCACCAGGTGGAGGTGCTGAAGGAGGCCTACAAGCAGCATCTGCAAATGCTTCGCCACACCATTGAGGAGGAGCGCCAGTTGTTCGCCGTCAGTGCCGTGGAAAAGTGGCGCACCTTCTTCGATGCCCTCAACAAGAACTTTGACGAGAAGGCCAATCTGGTGCGCACCCGCCAGCAGTTCTATGCCAATCAGACACAGCACATCAACGCCTCCCAGGAGGAGTTGACCAAGAGCACACGCATCCGCCTGGACAAAGAGTGCGAACGCTTGGAGCTGGAGCTGCGACGCACGCGCGATAACGTGCTAATGAACTCGGAGAAGCTCGACTACAACTATCAGGTGCTGCAGAAGCGCAACGAGGAGAACGTGATCATCAACAATCAGCAGAAGCGGCGGGTTTCCCGCCTCTATGAATCGATTGGACGCATTCGTCGCAGTCTGAAGAATCTTTATCTTACGGGCAAGCGGAACATAGATCGCCTGTCCCAGGATATCTATAAACTGCACGCCAATATTCACGATATGGAGCTGAAGGCCCACCAGGCGCGCCACAACAACAAGGAGAAGTTCAACCGCATTTGGGAGATCAACTTTAAGGAGCTGAATCTGCTCGTGGATCGTGTCTATCACATCGACCGCATCATTCACGAGCAACAGCTGGCCCTACCCTGGAAACGTCCCATTCCGCCGATTGAGAACATCAACAAGACGCGCCAGAAGCACAACAACGTCTTGGAGCGATTCGATTTGCGTATAGGTCGGGTGCCTAAGAACCGCGTGGTGAACAAGACTGGAGGCAAGTTAAAGGCGGACATCAAAGAGCTGCCAGTTGAGTCGTTGCGCCTGATGCGGAACCTGGTCCAAAAGCTGGCGGACCGAGGTGGCTTTCTCATAGAGCAGCGGCTGATCAAGATACTCGAGCCCTATTCGGAGGAGGACAAGTGCCTGGTGCGGCTGGACAACATATTCGCTGCACTGCGAATTCAACGCCTGTCTGATGTCCACGAGCTAACCCAGGTCTTTCTGCCCTATACTTACTGTCCCAACTGCCAGCCCGGCGGACTGAGTCCGCGCAAGTGTGCCGAGGTCTTCATGAAGCACCAGACGTCCAGCCGACTGGACCCGGACGTGCAGGCTCAACTGGACGATGGAGAGCTGCATCGCCAAGAGGAGCCCCATATGGATACGTTAATGGTGAAGGGTTATGAAATGTCCAAAGTCTGCAAGAATCACTATCTGGTGATGGAGCCGGCCCTGTGCCTGCACGCCTTGAATCTGTACACGACGAAGATGCACAAGCAAATGTACCACAACGTGCCCGGCCGCCAATCGATAGCTGTCAATTTAATCCAGTTCTCCGACGATGATATTCGCCATTTCTGGCGCAAGTTTATCGGCTGCTTTTCACCGGCCAAGTGCAAGCTGTGGAAGACCCTCGAGCATGGTCTCAATCACTACGTGGAGGTGCTGAAGATGCGCGTCCAGTACGACGGGGAGGTTGTGTTCTTGCGCCGCCAGAACGAAGAGCTGCGCCATCTGCTGCAGAAGTTGAAAGTATAATCTTTATTGTTTACCATATTCACACATTACACATTATTGTTGCCATTTCCGGTAAGCGCCCGTGAAATATCCATTATACTTTCGGCAAACTCTGCTGCACTTTCAAAGCTCTCCAAAAGCTTCATTCGATTTATTTACCTGCAACTGCAGCGGATTCTTCGACGCACATTTTTTGTCCTGCCCTTGCTAAATTCTGACTGTGCTTTTCCCACATCCCGCCCAGCTGTGATCACCGTTATTACTGAACCAGATGGAAACACACACTTTAAAAGCTCTCCCCTCGTGCGACTGCATTTGTACACAACAATATGCTTGCGATTATTTGTAAGATCAAAGATCAAGTTCAAGCCAGAGCTTGATTTCGCTAAACACAAATTTATTTCTCATTTGCATTATTTCTATCCGATCTGGCGCACTCGATCAATTCTCATATGTACTTTCCTCTTTTTGCTCTTTGACATCGTGCCATCTCGCTCTTAACTGTGGCAATCATCACATTTGCATTACACTCTCAGCACATTTGATCAATTGCACACATAATACATATGCGTTGGATGGGTAAAAAAGGCCATCAATAACACAGAATTAGGCAATTCTAATCATCAATTTGTGAATAAATGATTCAAATTGTATTCCTTGTATACTATTTCATTGTTTGAGTGCAGATGTTCCCACCAACCAGCTTGGTCTGGTCTGATCTTTTCGTAGTATTTAAGCTTTTGACTATGGAAATAAAGAAAAGAAAATCCAAATCCAATCCAATTTAGCGATGCCAGAGTAATAGTTGATCCATCCGCCTACACTTTCTAATCCTCAAAGACCTCAAAGCCCCAAAATGCTGCTGCATGGTGTTATTATCGGCACTGCTTGTCGCCTTGTCCAACACGCGGACGATAAAGTGGTCTCTGGGCTCTGGGCCTGCCATAAAATGTTGGCACTTTGCTGGGATCAGTGCTGCCGATGGATTGGCTCAAAGTGCACGTTGCGCACCATAAGCAAATCGAATCGAAACAGCGAATAAATGTTTAAAGTGCAAATAGACGACATTTATCGGCGAGTTTTATTGGTCAGCATTCGATAAAATTAACAGGCGCCGATCGGATCGTTGAAGGCTGCCGCTGCTGGTGGTGGTGCTGTGGCGGTGGCGGTGCGGTGCTCGCTGATGGTTGAACCAGCCTACGGTTGTAATGTTAGTACACATAATTAAACAGAAGCGTAATCTTATCATTCCTCACTGCTAGCCGCTTAATGTTTTTCTTTTTCGTTCGTTATTGTTACTTTTGTGTGGTGTCGTCGCCACACACACCACGCAGCACCACAAACGGAAACAGCCCATGAATACTCCTTCGACCCAATTGGTATCCATCGACGAGCAGGAGATGGCCGCTGCCGCCTTGGCCCGGCAGGAGGCGGATGGGCAGGCCAACTACTTGGGTTGCCTGGAGGATATGCAGCTGTTTGCACAGCTGAATGAGCTGAGGGGCGACGACACTGATGTCATGGAGATGCTGTCGCCGGGGGCAGACTTTGACCTGATCGATATGGTGAACGGGGTGAGCTCTTCCCAGAAGGAAATCCACAGAGGTCCATAACCATATAATATACACCCAGGCCCTGGATCCCACAGACAGTCCCACGCGATTGAAGAAAATGTCCAGGCGGAGCACCAAACAGGTGCAGGGAGCACCGCATGTCTGCGAAGTGTGCGGCAGACGCTTCTCGGAGGCCTATAACCTGCGCATACACAAGATGACACACACGGACGAGAGGCCGCATGTGTGCGATCGCTGCGGCAAAGGGTTCCGGCAGTTGAACAAGCTGCGCATCCACTATGTCACCCATACACCGGATCGACCGCACAAATGCGACATCTGTGGCAAAGGCTTTCGCTATGCCAACTACCTGGCCGTCCATCGACGTCTCCACACTGGCGAGAAGCCTTACTCGTGTTTGGTCAAGGAGTGCGATCAGACTTTTCACTCAATTCATGCGCGTCGCATCCACTCGAAGCTGCAGCATGCGGCTCCAGTTTCATCGGATGCCGAGCAGGATCAGCCACTGTTTGCGTTGGAGGGGTCCACAGCCGTCACTTCCTCACTGAGCTTCACCTGCCCCATCTGCGGCCGGGTGCTCACAGATCAGTGCTACCTGAACACTCACCTGAAGCGGCACTATAACCAGCGTGACTATCCCTGCCCGCAGCCGGAATGCGGCAAGCGCTTCTTCAGCGCGTCAGAGGTGAAGCATCATCAGATCGCCCACACCCAATATCGTCCGTACGCGTGCACCCAGTGCCCAGCCCGATTCCTAAGGAAATCGAATTACAAACAGCATTTGAAGATACATGAGCGCTGAGACTCTCCTCAAGAGGGTCTCCACTTTTGTTTGCTTGTCTTTGCCTTTGTTATTGGGTTTGGTTTAGCTTTTTGTTTGGTTTTAATTGATGTAAGTGTTTATTTAAATATACGTTCCATATGTTTGTCTTTATCTGTATATTAGATATATATATATATATATATATATATATACTTGTGTACTCATACGTTGTGTGTATGTATGTACGTACGGTATGGGTAGTATTCTCCTCCCGTTGATCTGACTTTTTAAGGGCTCTTCTGTTGTTGATCTCTGTGTGTGTTGTGTGTAAGCATAACTTATCGATTAAATTACATTACATTATTTGTGTGCGTGGGAGGGGGGCATCTGATCTACCAATAGTATACATTACAATATATAAAAACAAGCGATTGGTTTGGTTTAGCTTAAATTAACGATTGATTACTATTAAGGGCTGTGTCTCCGTGGCGATGCCAATCGTGATTAGATCCATCTCATTTATTCGGTTGATGTTCCCAAAGATCACTTCAACATTTCAAAAATATATAAAAACAAACCAAAAAAGAAGCCACTCGCATACAAATATTTTTGGTTGAATGTTTAAAAAAAAACAAAACAAAAAAAGAAATTAACTTACAGCTAAAACTGGGTTGGGTTGGGAGGAGGGGGTTCTGCGAATGTCCACATTAAAAGCCTAGACAAGCAAAATGTAATTACATATTATAGAAGAAGACTTAAAGGCTATGACCCAAGAAAAAGCGCACACTTGCCACCAGCAAAATCTGAGCCAATTTCAGCGACAGCAGTTGGGAAGTCGACTCTGGACGGACATCCATCCCATCCCGTACCGAGAGAGAGAGTGTAAATTGTAATTGACATTTGAGCTATGGTTGGTTCCATTCCTTACAGAATAAATGCAGTTTTTAAATTGTGTGGAGAGTTATCCCATTTGGGTTGGCTACTACTTTTTGATGTCTTGATGGCTTTTGGCCCTGGGTTGTGGGTGTGCTTTGCTGCTCATTTTGTTGGGGCAAGTGCTTTGCATACATATGTACTATGTATGGGATATACATGCACATACATCTATATGTATCTACGACTAACAAAAAGTGTTTGCTTAAATTTGCTTGTTGTGGATTAGTTCAAGAGTTTCCTCAACACACACACACACATCGAAACGTTTAACAACCATCAAATATGACATTCATCATCGATCCCAGGTGGCAACAGGTCTCTCGGTCTGTCTCCCTCCATTGTCCAACCGATTATCATGTGTATACATATATAAATTTCTTCCTGCTTCCCTGCTTCTTCTGGTGTTCACTTCTTATGTACAATATGTAGCGTGTGAGGGCGGTTTTCCGTTCTATTTTGTGGTTCTATTTTTGTGTGTAAGCTTCCAGCTTGATAAATCCCAGTTTCTTTTTTGGTTTATTTTGGTTCCACTTTCTCTTTCACTGTCTCTTTCCTATAGCAAATATATATTCCAAATCACCCATTTATCTGTATTTTTGTTGTTTTGTTTCTTTCACAAAGAATTTCGACTGTCGCTTCCAGCGCTAACCTCCCCATACACACTTGCATGGGGTTTTCCATACTCTTTGATCCTGCTTTTTTTTGTTTGTCTATCGTAAAATATATGTATAAAAAAAAAAATGTCCCATCCAAAAGCTGTCTGGATTATCTTATCGAAAAAAACGTGCACCTCTCCTTCTCTCTCTTGCGTTTCCACCTACACAATATAGACCAAAACATGTCCTCTCATATATGTATACGTATGTATGTGTAGACGTTTCCAAAGATATACATCTGTATGCATCTCTGTTATATGTAGTATGTGTGAGTTGTTGTTCTCTTTGTGTATGGGGATATACATCTATGCGTCTATGGTTGCATCTACTTTTGGCTCTCTTTTCATTAATTTTTGATTTCCGATTTCGAATTCCCGATTCCCGAATCCCATTTTCTGCCATGCTCAAAAGTATGCAAATGCAAGGCAAGGCAGATTCTGGGATTAGGAACAGGGCCGCCCTGCCCTACATTTGTGTGTTACGTTAGGTCTCCTTCGATCCTGGGCTGCCTACGACATGGAGCTGCAGGGAAGTCGCGGCGATCCCATTTGGGTGAGAACGCGATCCAGCCACTGGAGTGGGCCATTCAGATGCAACTCAATCCAGCAGGGTGTTGAGGTGACAGTCTGACGACGATACTCGGCCCCCCAGCCCTTCACAAAAGACATTCGAATGGTGCACATGCGTGTCAGCTGGTAGACGGCCTCGAATCCCTGCGACACGGACTGGGAGAGAAGGGCGGCAAACTCCTGATTGTTGAAGATCTTCAGATTGCAGCCGGGCGGGATTTTGCAAACGGTTGCCGGATGCCAGCCGTAACGCTGATTGCAGTTCGGACTCTGCACGAAAATGGACGAGTCGCTGAGGCATTCGGCAAAGACCTCGCCGCCTATGTAGTAGAGTCGAACGCCCTTGCCGATGTGACGGCGTGTCTGTTCGACGACATCGTTGCGATTCACATTGGAAAGCAGACCGAGACAGAAGCGCTCCGAGTTGGAGGGATCTGTGAAGCCGTCCACCGTAATAGAGGGCTGGGAGGCATGAAAGGTCTCGCCGACCCTCGTGTTCAGCTCATAGTAGGAGATGGAGCACCAGAAGGCTGGCTCGTGGTACATCACTGGGGCGGCATCGGCGGGCGGCGTCAGGCGCGACATGTTCATGTTGTCATTGGGATCGATGGGGTCCCCATCCTCGCTCATGTAGCCGGGTGGCGGGGTGCCCGTGTTGGGAATGCTGCTGCCCACACTGAGCACGCTCGACTGCGAGTCCATGTTCTGTCCAAACGATAGTGGCTGCTGGTACGACGAGGATGACGATGAGGAGGTGGCCGAAACGGACACGGAAGCGGAGGCTGATGCTGAGGAGGAGGTGACCGGACCGCTACCACCGCCCAGTTCCATATACTGCGGCGGACTCAACGAGGCGCTGCGTATTATCGCAGCATTATAATCGGTATTATTTGGTATCTGATGCGTGTGGTTGTCCAACGGATAGTCCACTATGGAATCAGGCGGCGTGGGCAGCGACTTGGGCACCAATATGGACAGCTCGATCTTCTTGTAGTGGTACGGATTGATGCAGATTTCGTCCTTGCGCAAGTGGAAGGCGTACTCGCAGTGATCCAGAGGCTTTAGTTCATTCTGTGACTGCAGATCCGGCCAGCGCCATAGGCGGCAGTAGATAACGTGCGGCAGACCCTTCCGCAGATGCTCGCCGGGGGGGACGGGCTTACTGCGCGGCACTGTCACGCAGCGCGTCTGGCAGTTCTGTGTGGAAATGGCACGCTCTAGCTCCTCCAGCTGCGAGTTCTTCTTAATCTTCTTCACCAGATTCTTGACGGCCTTCTCCGACCACTTGCCCTCGACGGTGTTGTCCTCGTTGCCCTTTTTGAGTGCTAACAAACGTTTGACCACTTGCGGGGTGAATGGCAACATCTCACGGTCGGTGGACACCAGAGCCTCACGCGCACACAATGGCACAAGGGGTGGGGGCTGGGGCTGATTCTGGCTCCTCTCTGCTGCTGGTGCCTAACGGCTCTTCGCTGAAGCTCTGCGCAGATCGAGTGGAAGCAGCAATCGCTCTCTCTCTCTCTGTGTGTTGCCGTGGGGGGGAATTTCCTCTGAATGCAATTTGTGCAAATTAAAAAAATTCCTTTGCTTTCCCTCTCCCCACGAGTGTTTGGTGAGGCGTGGAGCGTTGTCAGCGTTTCTAGAATTGTTTTATACAGTTAGTTTTTGATCAGCCTAAATGTGTGTGTGTGTGCGGCACGCTAAAATAATTAAAACTTGATAATTTGCCTGCATGTGTTAGTTTGTGTGTACGCGATTTGATTCCACTTGTATGTATGCATGTATGTACATATGTACATGAGCCTGCGCTGCCGACTGGATCTGATAAAAAGCACTAGCGACCGATGTGTTGATGACGATGCTGGTGATAATTGGCGGTTGTGGTGTGGCTAGTGGTGTGCATGTGCGATATGATATGGCCATTGAGGTAATCTAACAATTTTGGCCATTGATTTCGGTTTCAGCTCTGGGCCGGGCCATAAAATGCAATCGTCTTGTGGGAGAGATTTGGCATGCGATGCGTAGGTGGAAAGGCAGACATCAAAACGGCACATATATTATACCACGGCCTGTGTGTATGTGTTCGTGCGTGCATGTGCTTCTGTTGTTATTTGCCATTACTGTTGTCGCTAGTACTGTTATAGTATGTATTGTGTGAGCCAAACAAGGTCAAATATCTGTCTGCAGCACACACACACACGGGGGATACAATACACAAACGCAGCCCATGGGCAGACGACACTTTGAAAACAAGACGCTTTAAATTATTGTTCGTCAAAGCTATTAAGATATTTTCGGGCCAGACTTTTTGGATTTTTCCATTAACAGAGGTGGCAGGCTATATATTAATTTGCGAATATGAGATTTAGTCACTTTATTTCAAGTTGTATGCTTTATATTTTCCTCTCCAATCGCGCGGGGTGGATAGGGGATGACAAGAAATTAAACACACACTCGCGTATGTACAAACGCACACACATGCATGGGTTCTTTGATTTTGAATGTATCCATTTTACCTGTACAAGCGTTTTTGCAAACGGCACCGGCACCTGAGCTGCTACTCTCCAACTCTGCTTCCGCTGCTCCGCTGGCCAGCCGATGGCAATTCAAGAGTTGGAACGGGCAATTAAGACAAGTATCAGCACACTTCCACTTTTGAATGCAATTGCAATTGCGTTGCGATGCGTTGGTGGGAAAACAGGGACGAGAACCACGACAGCGACGACGACAACCAAGCGGCGCCACCGGAACCGGGCGCGTACATCAAGGTGCTGGAGCAGAGGGGTGTGTTTGGAGGGTGGCCACCGTTTTCAATTTGTGTATATCTTTTGCGCGCGCCAGAAAGTGACAGCTAGACACACAAGCAAAAGCACAAGAACCGCAACACACACAAACACGCACACAGTCACAACAAAGAATTTTATTCTATGTTCCTTTGCGGCCGTCTGCTGCTGCTACAGCTACTGCTGACCTTTCGCACTTTATGGATACTTTTCTAGTCCCCTTTCCACCGCCACAGCTGTTTTTGTCACTTTTCGAGTCGGCTCCGCTGGCTCTTCTCTCGTTCGAATTGTTGATTACTTAATCCCCGTTTTTAATTGACTTTTCTGATAGTGCGTAATATCATGCGTCTCCGCTGGGCCTGAGATCTATTCCGAAAAAACCACACCACTGTGTCTGCGTCGGTTGCTGCTGTTTATTTCACATATACGCAGTTCTTATTCGCTTCTGCTTTGCTTCTTGCTTCTTTTCCCTATGCATATGCTTTCGTGTGTGCCTGTAGTGGTGTGTATGTGACAGTGTGTGTGCCCGCTGCCTTTGTCATTATCTGATTGTCAGACATCGACTTGACTATCGATCCGAAGTTTTCAAAGTGCACATATCTGATTGTCAGAATCGATTTGACTATCGATACGAAGTTTTTAAAATTCACATATTACGCAGCCGAACAAAAGCATTATATCTAAACGGCCGATTCATCTTTTTATCAAAGAACGCCTAAGCCTTTTTAAAACACGTCCATTTTACTGGATAACGTCCGTTTATACAAGTAAATTTTAATCTATCGATATATGACTTTTGACGGATAATTAACATCTGGCAACGCTGTCGCATAACTTCATACTTTAGAATTCAAAAGTTCATAAGCGGGTATACCGTTTTTTTTTTATAAATGTTTCATAAGTGTTTAATAGTCATAATTTATAATCGTCTTAAAGATCAATTTTAACACGCGTAGAGGTTGGTGTTGGTTGGGAACTTTGATGCAAGTGCGTCCCAGCACATGGCCAGAAGGTCTCTTGGGTTGATGTTGTCTCTTTTAAATAAGATAGTTTATTGTTACATCTAATTTAGCTTAGAGCAATTGTCAACTAATGTCTAATTTAATCAGCTTAGGTTTTTGAAGAGCGCCACGTTTTCTGCAGTGCCTGTTTGACTAGCTCATCGGGAGACGGTGTATCAAACCGAAAGCGTTTCACATTACTGCCATAGTCCTCCCGCCGATACATCTTTAGGTGCTGTCGCTCCAGCACCGATATGGCGTATTTCACCTGTGGCTTCCGTGGCTCCGGGTAACCAACCACGGCATCCAGCATACTCCCAATGACACTGTGATGCTCTGAAGTCAGCAGATCGTTGCTTTCGGCATTCGTTGAGCATTTGTCGTCCGTCAACAAGCACGGCGAGGGGGCGAACCGCTTTACCGGATCGTAGGCAATGAATGGAATATCGAATTTCTGCGTGTTTTGGGCCCGCTTAAGTCTAGCTTTGGTCGCATACTCCTTGGGGGCTGCATATTTGCTGCCTTTGATCAAGGCTGTGGTCAGGTCGATGAGTGGCGTTGCGGTTGGCAGAGGATCTCGCAGGGGCGAGATTTTGTCACCCCCGTCGTCACCGGACGATATGTGCAGCCGATCCACAGCACGCTCAAGCTTGGGCAGATTCTGCCTGTCGCTCATGTTCTGACTGTGAAGCTTGTTCAGCAATGGAATATTCAGATTGGCCGCCACCGCCAAGGGCTCTCCGGGTGCAACGCAGAGCTGCGGTATCACAAATCTAGGAGCTGCCTCGCCCGTCGTCGTGCCCCCCTCGGAGAGTTCACGTTGCCGCTTGATTTCATTCAGCAGGCGGGCATTGCGGGCATCCACTACCTGACGCTCCCTCTCCTGTGCAGCAAGGTCACTGGGCGTTGGGTTGCCTTGGTTCAGCTGCGGTATCTTCAGCTGTGGTATGACCAGTTTAAATGTTGGTGTGTTCAATTTTGTCGAATCATTTTGGGTGCCAAACTTTTGTTGAATGGCCTGGTGAAGGCTCGGCTTTTGATTGCTCTCCATTTGTAACCCAGTGTTTGACACAGTCAGCGAGACCAACAAATTTATTTTGCAATCTCTTTTGTTGTTATTAGTTTTTCTTGTGTCGTTTTCCAGATGTGTGCAGTGTGACCGCGGACTTATGGATAAAATATACCGCCTGACCCCAGAAATATACTGAATTGTGCCTTCTCATTTTCAAACTGTACCGTAAATCTTAAAACAGTTTCCTAGATGTTTTTCCATTCTATTTACCATTACTTTTACCACTAAAACTATAATTTTATCCAATTCATCAAGAAACTTTCCACAAGATTGGCTGGTTTTCAGGATACATTTTTTTTGCATTGATTGCAAAATAAGGTTACAACTAAAAAGATCATATACGAGAATGGGAAGGGGATGTTACGTCGCTTGACAATTTGTTTCTGGTCAACCGATAGTAGTGTCTAGTATGGGCATTTTTGTACCCTATTTCTCATATTTAATATTAAAATTGCTTTTTCCCATCTACCTCTTAACATTAATAGTAACTTATATGCTTTCCATGTTTATATATTTATCGATCTAGATACATTCTCGGTACCTATAATCTGCAGATTGACTTGTTTTTGCATTGATTGGAGCCTGAGATTTCCAACATTCCCCTATATAAAATATTTGTGATTATCATTAGTAAACTATTCATTTCGATCTCCGCAGCAGACAACTCCGCCGATATATCAAACTGGTGTTGAACAACGTTTGAAAAAAATGCGCTCCAAGTTCGGATTCTGATTTTTATAAATATTTAGTTTTTGGAACATTTGTGAATGAAATGCAATATGATCGCAGGTTGTCATTGTTTAAATTCTACGCATGATCCAAGCGGCAAATGGGTCCATCCTCCACCATTTTCAGATCCACCTTGGGTCCAACCAGATCGCGAATATTGTTGATGCCGTACTTGATCATGGTGGGTCGTTCCAGCGATAGGCCCCACGCAATCACATTGACATTCTCCGGAAGGCCCATCGGCAGCAGCATCTCCGGCCTGAAGACGCCCGAGTTGCCCACTTCGATCCATTTGGCCAGGCCCGGATGGTAGCAGAAAATCTCCATGCTCGGCTCGGTATAGGGATTGTAGGCCGGCTTGAATTCCAGCTGAGTGATGCCAAGCTTGCGAAAGAACTCGTACAGCGTCCCAATCAAGTCGCCGAGCGTGAGGCCAACGTCAGCAATGACGCCCTCAACCTGATGGAACTCGGCCAAGTGTGTGGCGTCCAGCGTTTCGTTGCGGAACACCTTGTCGATGCTGAAATATTTGGCCGGCTTGAAGCCGCCCTCCTGGTTGGCAAGCTTGAACAGCATGCGAGCACTTACGGCCGTTGTGTGTGTGCGCAGAAGGTTCTTTTGTGCCTCCTCGATCTTCCAGTCGTAGCCGTAGCCCATGGAGCCGTAGCCGCCCTTGGAGTGGACGCTCTTCACGCGCTCCAAGTATTCCTGCGGGAACTTGTGGCTCTTGGCCGGATGGTTGATGAAGAAGGTGTCGTGGGCATCGCGAGCGGGATGCTGTTGCGGCTGGAACAGGGCGTCAAAGTTCCAGAACGAAGACTCCACGTAGTTGTTGGTGGGCATCTCGGAGAAGCCCATCTCCAGGAATATCTGTCGGAACTCGGTGCGCACCTTCAGCAGCGGATGCAGATGGCCACGCGTCGGCGGTGCCCCCAAGGCATCAAAGTTATACGATTTGAACTTTAGCTGCTGCCACAGGCCATTGGCGAGCATCTCCACGGTGAGATCAGTCTCCAGTTTGGTGAGACTGGTTGCGAACTCCGGCCCCTTGGTCAGGACAAAGCTCTTGATGGTGGTCTCCTGCAGTAGCTTGCGCTTTTTGAAGTCGGCCACTGTATTGGCCGGTAGGTCGGTCTTTCCTTGTGCCACCTGATTCAGCAGCTCCTTGACCGTATCCACAATCGTCGGCACCTTGCGCTTGACCAGCGGCGGCTTCTCACTCTTGTCAACCAGTATCCAGCCATTGGCCATGGCCTTGCTGAAGCCAACCTTGGCATTGGGATTGCCACTGACTTGCAGGAGCACTTGCTGTTCGATTCCACCCTCTGGGACATTTGCATATACTGTCGCCTCATGGCTGCTACTCAGGGCCACATGACGACCCTCTTCGGTGAGCTCTAGGGACTTGTGTGTGACTGTCGTGGCATTGACCAGCTCACCATGCGCCTGGATGCTTTTCAGTGCGCCGACAATTTTCTGGTGATCGACGGCAAAGAGGGTGGCGAGGTCCAGAGTGTCCACCTGGTCGGTGTTATCCAGATGCTGAAGAATACGCTCCGTGAGTTCGGTACTCATCTTGGACTATCAATTTGGCTGGTGATGATGAAAAATGCACACAAAATTGCAAATCTCGTGTTGCCACAACGCAGGAAGAGGAAGAAAGCCGACAGTGTTGGCAAGCGTGCGATGCCAACTGGTCTCTCTATGACCAAAATCAGACTATCGGTATGTATCTGTACAATTATCCTGCGAATAGTGTAGCTGACGATTTGAAGATGCTGGACACCTGCGTAAAGAAACTATATAAGGAGGTCTTGTCGTCAAAAATAGGCAGAACGTGCGAGTAAAAAGTGCGAGTGAAACGGCTCTCGCTGTAAATGTGAGGGCAACGACAATGGAGTGTGCTGATTAACCATTTGAAGGCAATGTGAAAAAACATATTAATTTTTTCATAATATAATTTTTAATAGTTTGCTACATGATAGTAGTCTTTGTTTTGAAAAAAAAAACATTTTGAAACAAAATTTCGTCCGCAACCAACCTTTCGCGTCGACTAGCAAACGAGCACTGAAAATAAGCAGAAGCAATGAGTAACTCTGCCATCGAAGAGACCTCCTTATAGTTACTTCATGGACACCTGAAGGATCATAATCACAGCCATGTTCAGTCGATACACTAGGCAATCGATAACTGTAGCTGATGTTTGAAAGTGCCAACCGCGGCAACCAGTCTCAGAGTGGCCAGTACGCCGCAAAGTACAGTGCTGCAAAGCAGCAGCATAAATCAGCTGTCCGGGTATTGCAACAAAAAGAATAAGCGAAGCGTTGGCGTTGCTTCACACAAAAACACAAAAAAACACAAAAGTAAAGAAAAAGAAAAAGGGGATTCTGCAGGCAAGCAAATAACAAATGTCCATTGCGTGAGGACAAACACACCAAAAACCGAACATGCTGAAGAGCCTCCAAGCGGGCACCTACGCTGGCATGGCCAATGCCAAGTGCGGCGAGATCTACTTCCAGAGCCTAAACAGGTTTCGCATAGATTGTGCCTTTTGTGAAATGAAGAGCTTTGTTTTTAATGACTTTCTGTTGCACGTCCAGAACGTGCACTTCGAGAACGGCCTGCTCAAGACAGAGGATCTGGTGGAGCCCAAGGAGGAGATAGATGAGTCGGAGGGATCGCCGGATCAGAGTATGGAAGATGTGAACCCCTTTGCTTGGCACGAAATTGCCTCTGAAAATGATGAAGTTGACCAGCACACCGACAGGGAGGATGACTACGACAAGGATGAGGAGAACGATGATCCCGGCCGGATCATTCTGCAATGGGACAATACCAACACAATCGCAAAGGATTCTTCCTCGCGCCAACTGCGCGCTATCAAAGTGGACTACAAGGAGGAGTCCGAGGAGGAAGGCGAAAGCATTACCATTGACCTGGATCTGGATCAGGATCAGGATCAGGATGTGGAAGATGACTTGGACTCGGATCATCTCGACGACTCGACCACGAAACCGCTTTCCTGCCCACACTGCCCCAAGACCTATCAGGGACCGAAGACTATGGAACGGCACATAGCACGCCAGCACAAGCCCGTGGATCCCGAAGTGGAAGCCGACTACGGGATGTGCCGCGTACTCGACTCGAAACCTCAGCCAGTGTACAAGTGTGAGCAGTGCGAGCATACATTCTTCACAAAAATTCCGCTGGTGACGCATATGACGGAGTACCATAAGATCGGGCGTCTGGCCGCTATCACGGCCGCATCCCCATCGTTCACTTGCGTGGAATGTGATATGGAGCTGCCGCGCTTGCGTCTGCTCGACGAGCACATACTGAAGGTACACGGCGGACCGGCATGCGTGGTCTGCAAACGACGCTACAAAACACGGCACGAGCTCAGGCGCCACCAGCTGAGGCACAACAGCGAACGGAACGTTGAATGTTCACATCCCGGGTGCGGGAAGCGCTTCTTCACCAAGCGCCACATGCGCAATCACACCAAGGTCCACACGCAGGAGAAGAACTTCGTCTGCGAGAACTGCGGCTACAGCTGCCGCAACAAAGAGACGTTGCGTGTCCACATACGCAGTCACACGGGCGAACGTCCGTTCGGGTGTACGGTGTGCGAAAAGCGATTCCCATCCCATTCGGGGCTGCGCGAGCACATGGCCATGCACTCGACGGATCGGCCGTTTGTGTGCAATGTCTGCGATGCCACCTTCTCCCGCCAGAAGGGTCTCTACCACCACAAGTTCCTGCACACGGACACCAAGCAGTTTGTGTGCAAGCTGTGCGGCAATGCCTATGCCCAGGCAGCAGGATTGGCCGGTCATATGCGCAAGCATCGCAGCGACGGGCAGAATGGTGCATCGTAGAGCATAACAATCGCAATCGGATGGATAATTAGATAAGAAGTTACACATTTACACACTTAAGATATAAAGATATAATTTCCAATCATCTACGAACTTTAACATTTTTCTAAGATTTTCGGCTACATTTAAGAACTCAGGCATAGTCGCTTAGGCACAAGTTGCACAATTAAGTTGTAGTTTTAAGCCTAAAAACACAAACACACACACTCTACTTGTGGTTTACCTGAAGATTTCCTGAACAGTTCCGCAGCGCAGAGGGGCAGAAAGGAAACTCGAATCTGAAGCTGTTGGGTTTTTTGTTTTCAACATATTGTGTATATTGCATTGATAAGTACATAATGTATGTATGTATGTATGTACGTAGGTATGTACGTGTATGTAATAAAATGAATTCGTAACAATCCCTGTGCCAACCGTGGCCCCTGTGTCCCTTGTGTCACTTTGTGTGCGAAATGCGGAGGCTGCCTCTGTGTGTGCGCGCACGGCAATGGCCGAATTTAAATTTAGCCAACAATTAGCTTTTGACAAACAATTAATCGAGGGAACGAGCGAGCGAGTGAGCGGCAAATGCCAAATGGGTAAGACACGCGGCTAAACATAGTGCCAGCGATTAGCGGTAGCCAGCACTTGGCATCCCCACACGCAGCGTGACAATGGTCGGTAAGATGATGGCAAAGACGAGAGACAAGAATGAAACGGATAGGAAGAGCGATATCCTGCGGCATATGTGCGAATACTGCGGCTACAGGACACGCATTCGGGGCAATCTGATGGTCCACAAGCGGCGACACACCGGCGAAAAGCCCTTCAGCTGTGACACGTGCCAGGCAAAGTTTGCGGCCCGCTATCAACTGAACACGCACCGGGAGCTGCATCTGGACGTGAAACTGCGACGCAGTCTCCACATGTGCAAGGATTGTAATGTTGGATTCTTGAGTGCGCGCGCCCTCTACCATCACCGGCCACTCCATGGCCCGGGGAAGCGGTTTAAGTGCTCACAGTGCGAAAAATCCTATGCCCAGGCCGCGGGCTATGCCCAGCACAAGCGGTGGCATCGTCAGCGTAATCAGCGTGCAACGGCTGAAAGCTCCATCGAGATAAAGATGATTTTGGGAAGCCAGAGCCAAGACAACGATGCTGCATCAGTCAATTGTTAATTATCTATAATGCTTTCCTATGTAATGAATAAATTTACCTAAAAAACCGAATTCCAACCGTTGGCCAATGCAATTTGAGTTGGGCCGACGTTTTCGAGCACTGTTTTCGATAGGCGGTGATTCCAGCGATCTATCGGAATCCTGCTTGGCCCGTCTGTTTACAACCTTTGTTATTTGTTGATTTTTCTGCATGGGGACCCGCTGAAAACCCGTGTGCAGCATGCTGAAACACTGCTTTATCCATGTGGACTACACGCGTCTGCATGCACAGCAGAAAATGCAGCCCAAATGCGGCGAGATATTCTACGAGCAGGAGTGCAACAGCTTCCACTTGGCCTGCTGCCTGTGCGACATGAAGCACTTTTCATTCGATGATTTCGTGCGGCACATTCGCAACATACACTTTGACAAGCAGGGCAAGCCGCAGGCGGTTCAGCAGCCCCAGCCTAACTCTGCGCAAGATAAATTCCTCCCAGTAGTGAAATATGACGATGTACAGGAACTGGAAGACCCTTGCACATTGCGCATCAGTGACGTCCAGTCGCAGGGCAGCCAGGAAACTGAAAGGCTCTGGGAGTATGCAGAGAATTCCTCCGACACTGAGAGTGACGGCTGCGACCTGAAGCCAGAGACCATTTTAGGCAGCCCCTGTGAAAGGACAGATGAAGAAGATCAGGATGAGGACGAGGACGAGGAGGAGGACCAGAAAAGTATTTTCAAGGTATCATGATCGTGTCTATCCCTTTGGTTTTCTATTCCACTAACGCTTGAGCTCTATCCAATGCAGCGCCCGCCAAAAGAACTCTGCTGTAAGCACTGTGATCGCAAATACACATCGATGAAATACCTGAACATTCACATAAAGATGAGCCATCCGCACCCCAAGGCGTTCAAGTGCAGCGACTGTGGAGACGACTTCGATGCGGTGCGAGCCCTGGAGGCGCATCGGCGTAAGATGCACACTGACTTCAGCTGCAAACTGTGTGCCAAGATCTTCAAGAACTCACGCACTCTCCTCCGTCATGTGCAGGCACATTCTGGTTTGCGGCAGTACAAGTGCGACTTTGAGAATTGTGAGAAATCGTTTACGAACAAGCACAACCTCAACTCGCATCGCCGCATCCACAGAACGGATCGAAACTATGTGTGCGAGCTGTGCGGTTATAGGTCGCGATACCGCGAGGCTCTCATCGTTCATCGACGCTCCCACACGGGCGAGAAGCCCTTCAAGTGCGAGACCTGCGAGCGCTGCTTCGCCTCAAAGTCACTGCTGAACGAACATCAGCCGATGCACTCCACGGAACGTCCTTACAAGTGCAACGATTGCGACGCAGCCTTCTCCCGCCCCAAGGCTCTCTACCACCACAAGCATCTACACCTGGGCATCAAAAAGTTCAAATGCAAAGTCTGTGGCAATGCCTACGCCCAGGCGGCGGGACTCTCGGCCCACATGCGGGGACACAAGCAGCAGGCTGCCAACGGTGTGTCCGACGGCAACGAAATGGAGATCTTATTCACTTGCTAAGCACTCAAACCCCCACTGTACCTACATATCCACATTAAGATCATTTTCTATATATGTATGCCTCTATAGAATGCTATGCAAAACGAGAGCTTGCACGCTGTGAGCAGCGACAAGAGCCGCTGCCTACATATATCCGTTACTCAGTCAGTGTTGCATATGTTTGTAATCGTACATATGATTCATGTACCGTTAATTGTTCACTCTGTCCGTTTTACACCTAATGAATTTCCACCTCTCATCTAGCACCAACAAAAACATGAGAAAGAGAGAGAGAGAGAGAGAGAGGATGAGAAAGTTTTCGCTGGGATTAACTGTGCAATATAATAGGTTTAGTTATTATTTAAGAATTTTTGTTTTGTGTTTTCTTTAGTTATTATCTCCGCGATCTAGCACAAAAATATGTAAAATATTTCTGTACTATGCATGGTATGCACTATATATACATTTTGTTTTCGATCTGATTGAAGAATGATAAACACGATTGATTTGCATTTTCAACATTTATTTTCAGGAACAGGAACTTATTTCTATGCACATTGTATATATGCATGTAAAGTTACATATATCCGATGTTAATTTGAATTCCCATTTCTTCCTCTTTTTCCAACTGTTCATTTTTGTACATATTATATATCAAGTATATAATACTCTATCTCTGATTTTGTTCATCACCCTGTGCTAGTTTTATGTGTAATCAACTGACAGACATCAGAGTACTGGAGTTAAATGAATTGTATTGTAGTTAATGTCGGGTCTGTAGTTAAATATCCATTTATATTGTATAGTTATTTTGTATACGCAAATATGTATGTAATATTTAACAAAACAAAAGTGTTTCCACTACACTTAAAAGAATATATTTAAGTTATTTATTTATTTTGGTTCGCGCAAAAATGTATGTAATATTCCAAATATCTATATCTGAAGTTAATATTTTTTCGTGGGGTTTCATATTCGGTTAGTTTTACACAGCTAATGTCTGTTCTGCAGTTAAATATCCATATGTAATATTTAACATAACCGAAGTTTTTCATATTTTCTGTTTGGTTTTAGTTGGCTACTCCTTACATTTGTCAGTTGTAAGAAGAAGTATTTAAAATAAACACCACATTCGAGAAGCAGAGTTTCTGTGTCTTGTTTCTGTTTTTAACTGGAACTATTTACAATTTTTGGCTGTTCACTGTCTGACCATCAGAGGTAGTGAAAAACGGTAAGTACTCTTATTGCTCCGAACATATTTTGGTATCCCCTATCCAACATTTAATTGGAATAATCGTACAACATACATATCTGTATCTCGTCCTAAAGTTATTCTATTCATCACCCATGAGCCGCTGTGCACCACATATTGGATATGCGTTTAACTTGAGGATTAATCCCTTAACAAGATATCCATCAAGTACATATGCATACAGATTTTTGATAAGGTTCAGCCCGTGAAGTGTTCTTCTGTTTACGGTATTTCATTGAAATACATACCATAAATATATACAATAATATCTGTTGGTTAAAATAGCACACATACATATAAATCCATTGATATCATATCCGACTAGATACATATTGGGAATATTATTATAGTATATTTTTGCACTCAAAAGTTTGGTTTTTTCTCTTTCTCTATGGAGCTTCTCAAATACACATAAATATTATTTCCATTAGGACTTCAGCTTACAATATCTTTGGATTATAGAATACACATGGAACATAGTCCAGACACAAATAGAGAATTGCATTATACGGTTATTGGTGTACATTTACATTTCTTTGGTTATTCCGGTGTTCAGTATTTTATATGAGCCGCTGCACTGCACTTACTTCATTATTTTTGACCAATATTTAAGAACAATATTTATGTTTGTATATCCTAACACATAGAGATATTAAATGGAATTATTCCAAAGCCATTTGCATTTGTTGCAACATCAAAAATATATATGTACACATGAGAACGCTGTACTGCAACTTTTCTAATAAAAAAAAGTGTATCCGTAATTTATACCTATAGCATATAGAGCTAATGTCCTTGACAGATGCTCTTAACAATGGGGAATCGATTTTTACGCCCACACACGTATGGTGTAGTCCCAGCTGCCAGTTGATAGGGCAGTGCCATCGGGCGATACCTGCACACAGGAGACCTTGTTCTCATGGCCATACAGCAGACAGACGCGCTCCGACTTCAGAGTGTCCCACAGATTGACGGTGTAGTCGTTGTAGCCAGCAAAGAGCAGGCGACCGCTGACCGAAAAGTCCACCGAGTTGACACCAAATATGATGCTCTCCTTGGCGAAGACAGCCACCTCGCGATCGGCCCGCATGTCGTACAGACGGCAGCTGCTATCATCCGAACCGGTGGCGATTGCATCTCCGCAGGGATGGAATTTGACGCTGTTCACATCGGACTGGTGTCCCTCAAAGGACTGCACAACATGGCCAGAGCGCATGTCCCAAATAAAGGCCATACGGTCGCAGCTGCCCGAGACGAAGGTGTTGCCCGTCTCGTTGGGAGCCAAATCGATGGCCATCACATCGCCCGAGTGGCCGTGAAAGCTTTGCAGCAACTGGCCGGACTCCACGTCCCACAAGGCGCAAGTCGAGTCGCCGCTACCCGTCAGGATCTGCTGATCCGAATTGGGATATATGCAGCACGACATGTAACTTGTGTGGGTGCCAACGGTGCGCTTCTTGGCGGCCATCTCCTCATCGGAGGTGATCGGATAGACGGTCACCTTGTTGTCCAGTCCACCACAGGCAACAAAGTTACCCGACGGGGCGTATGCACAGGCCATGATCCAGGTGGTGGGCATGGTCACGGCATGCTCCTTGTTGGTGGTGAACGCATCCCAGATGATGAGGCGGCCATCCTGCGAGGATGAGATGATGTGTCGCTTGTCGGGACTCCAGTCGGTGCAGAGCACCTTTGCTTGGTGTCCCTTCAGCACCTTGCGGGGCTTGATGTTGACGTAAGCAATTTGCTCCAGACGCTCCGCAATGTTCGACAGGTTGACGTCATTCAGCTTCGAGCGCTCCTCCTCCAATTTGGTTTTCAAATTTTCCGCCTCCTTCAGCAAGTTTGCCATTTTTTCATTGGCATTAACATTGCTGGCGGAGACAGCGCTCTCCGACATTTTCACTTAATTATTTTCCACTTTTTCACCAGCGTCGATTTGTGTGTTACTCCCAGTGTCAAGGCGAAAAATCAAGTGAAAAATCAATCATGAAAAAAGATGTATACCAAATATGAATACACAACGGGCCCTTGCGCACTAGCGCTCGTGTGCGGCCAGTGCTGCAGACTGTTCGTCTTGAATCTGGATGTTTCTGCAGTGCTGTGGAGCACAAGTTTGAACTATTTGCCAAGCCAATCAATAAGAAGAGTTTGAGAAAAAGCTTATGACCCAAATACCTGTTTTCTGTTATTCGTGAGTACAAAGAAAGACCTTTCAGATTTTATTTGCTATCATTAAAATCTTCACAAGTTGAATTACGCGCCCAATTATTCAACGGCACCGAATAAGCTTGCGCTACGCTTGCCAACACTAGTCGCCCAGCTGATCTGTTTTCGGATGTGAACCAACGGCTTGAGTTAAAGTTTCGGGAACAAAAACGACGCCAAACGCCAAATGACTAAACTATTAAAGTGGCACTGAGGCACCCCCTAGCCATAATTATTGGCTTAAGATGATCAAGTTGCAGCCATTGCCGGTAATAGGAACTGGCTCATACCACAACTTTCGATGCGGTGAGGTTCTGTGCAATAGCCCCACCAGCTACGACATTTGCTGCTCCTTATGCGGGCAGCGGCAGCCATTTGACGATTTCCCGCAACACTTCCGACTGCATCATCTCGGACCGGCGGCGGGGGCGGCGACGGAAGACTGCAAGCTATTCGAGGCAGCCATAAAGATTGAAGATGATCCCATTGGCCACGAGAGCTGTGAGCTTGATGAGCATGAGAATGTGGATCTGGAGCACATATCGGCAATCGATGAGGCTCAGGCCGCGGATGCAGATTCCCCACCACGCCGACAGCGAGAGACTGCCATGAAAAACACTCTGGTGGAGACAGAGGAGGCACTTCTGGAATTGGACCCGAACCCCGAGTGGCCGGACGAGGCCAGCGAGCCAATAGAGAATGCCGAAGAAGACGAAGAACCACCCCACCTCAAGGACGACACCAAGGACATGCTGTTCCAGTGCGATCAATGCGATCGGGCGTACAACAGCAAGCGGAGCCTGCAGAGCCACAGACGGGTCAAGCACAACGACAAGGACGGGGCCGTGCGGAAGCGAAACCGGGGACCGGCAAAGCTCTACATATGCCCCGAGCCAGAGTGCAGCCAGACATTTCGCACCGAGCGCGATCTGCACGGCCACAGATGGAAGCACACGGGCATTTTCTGCGACATCTGCGGCAAACCGTTCACCCAATCGGGCAACATGATGCGCCACCGTCAGCGGCACAGCGGCATCAAGCCACACAAGTGTAAGGAGTGCGAGGCCACCTTCTACACCCAGAAGGAGCTTACCTCTCACAACATTTGCCATACGGGCCGGATGCCGTGCATCTGTGAGGTGTGCGGGAGGCCCTGCCGCGATCGAGGAGTCCTCACCGCCCACATGCGACGGCACACTGGCGAGCGGCCGGCCAAGTGTGACGTGTGCGGCAAGGCCTTCTACAGCTTTCACGACCTCAACGTCCATGCCGTTTCGCACACCAACCACCGGCCCTTTGTCTGCGACGTCTGCGGCTCCACGTTCCAGCGCAAAAAGGCGCTGCGCGTCCACAAGCTGCTCCATTCGGACCGTAAATACCCCTGCAAGATGTGCAACAAGACGTTTGCCCAATCCGGCGGACTTAACGCTCATATGCGCACCCACGAATTGCCCAAAGGCAAGGGAACTGCTGCCAGCAGCAGCACGAAGAGTGCCGCCGCAAGCCACAAAGTAGTTGGAGGGCAGCTGGAGACGGTGACCATCGAGTTGATTGAAGAGAGTGCGCCCGTCTCGACGACAACCATCACAATGGCCATAGACTTGAATGTGGAGGGGGCGGACAGTCACTCCAAGCAGCCTGATACTGGTGCCAGTGCTGGCACTTGGCAGGTCTCATAGACACGGCCATGCAACTAAGTAGTTTTTTAAGAAATTATGTCATTAAGTAGCTGTCATGACCCAAGGGGAGTACCAGCCTCTCGCGGCCACTTCTGTCGCGAAGGAAGAAAGTGGCCGATAGCCGGCACACACCGACTATATTAGCCATATGTACATACGAGTAAAACCATAAGCTCAAGTGCTGAAATCGCACAATTGGAAGTGAAGTTATTAAAACGGCGAACGGAAAACTCAAGAATTTTAATTGCTATTCAATTTCGTTGGAGTCGCGGACACGTTGCACGCAAATTGAATAATTTGCCGTAAAGTAAATCTCAGAGATGCCGCTGTCCATCGCTGAGTGGATGTGTCGAGTGCAACTACACGAGTATGACCATCGGTTGGGTCTCGCTCTCTCACTTTCCCGAGATTCGACGATTTGTTTGGCAGTACCCGGACGGGCAATTGTCAGACAATAATGTGGATCGCCCTGCAGTATCTGTGCGTTCTGGGGCTGGTGATGGCCACCGGTAAAGAGTTTGACACGGCCAGCTTCCATCTGTACACCCCCGAGAGTTCCGACCAACCCCACAGGCTGTACACAAACGATTCGGAATCGGTTCTTGCCTCAAACTTTGATGCGAACCTTACAACAAAGTGAGCAAAACGATTTGGTTTGGGTTCATCCTCTAATCATTGCTGCTTCTCCTCAGGGTCATCGTTCATGGCTGGAGCGTTACGTATGTGGAGGAGCCAGTCAGCCAGCTGCGCACCGCCTACCAGGCCCGCGGGCAGTTCAATGAAGTACTTGGAGGCCATTCCGCTGGTGCCGGGCGTGGGCAAGGATGTGGCACATTTCCTCAACTTTCTGGCCGACAAATTCAGCCTGGATCTGTCGCAAGTGGTGATGGTGGCCCACAGCATGGGCGCCCATGTGGCCGGCTTCTGTGGCCAGCGTGTTTCACGCTACACGCCCCAGTTGCTGCTCCTGGGTGGCACCTGCGATGGCATTGCCCCGGAGAGCGTAGCGCTGGGTGATCCGCCAGAGATTGGCTGCACAGAGGGCATGTATAGCTTCAAAACCCAAGCGGAGAGTCCATACGGCCAGCCGTTCTAATTAAAGTTCAATAAAAGTTTTCATTACTTTCAGAGCAGATGGCAAACAAAAAATCAATTCAATTGGCGGTACAAAAATGTCCTTTAATTGGGGGTTTCCCTACTCAAGAGAGCTACCAACACGCAGATCTAGACACAACTTGTCACTGTTATATGTATGCAGTAGGTTCTACAGAGGATTTGGGTATAACATAAGCCTTAACCAGTAAGGAGGAAGAACATCGAGGGGTCACCGATGTTTGTTTAAACCCTTGAAAGGTAGAAAAGCGAGCAAAGATAATTGTAGGTTGTAAATAAACAGACAGACAGACAAATAATGCTTAAGTATAAGTCATAGAGAAGTGTTTGGAGTTGCTCTCTTTGCTGCAGTTCAAGGGTTTTTAGCTATAAAATGAATGGACGTACTCGGTTTACACAATACTCAAATCAAATCAAATCAAATATAATTTGAATGCTAAAACTAAATCGTTATGGGGAAACACATTTAAAATGGATCGATAAGGGATACAAAAAGGGTTTACTATAAGCTAGGGAGGGGATCTACCTACGAGTAGTAGAGATAATAATAATATCGATTAGTTTGGAGGAGTAGTAGCCATATATGTATGGGAGCCTAAACTGCACTACCAGCTGCACTATACATGCGATTATCCTGTATCCTGTATATATATATAAAATATATATAGATATATTTATGTATGCGTGGATATTGGATCCACTTCGTTGTGGAATGTGTTCTCTTCTCCTTGTTCCTCATGCAATTCCCTGTGTCCCTCAACTCCAGCTTAAACCAAATTGATTTCAATCTTGATGAGCAGCCGATCATCGGCCACGAAGCCCAAGTGCATGATGTTCGATATGTTGGCATACTCGAGGAAGCCAAAGCCGCGTGTGCTGATCGCCTCGCGCGGCTGATGGAAGGCCAATATCTCCGGCTTGGTCATAATGGTGTCATGCTGCGACTGGCTCGCATCCGTCGGATGCACCATGCACAGCTTGATGCGCCCTTTGAACGGCCAGTCCAGATGGAAGTCATTCTCCGACTGCATCAGGTGCACATGCAGGCTGAGCACGTGCGGCTTCCTTGGCTGAATGTTGAGACGGGCACAGAACTTGTAGCCATACGGCGAGGTGTAGCACTCGTGCGAGTACACCTGATTGTTGGCATTGGCCCGCAGACGGGACACCAGGCTGCCCAAATGCCCAATGTTCCACACAATGGTGCCATTGCTGTAGCGCGGATCAATCGGCTGGCGGGCCAGACGCAGCTGCTTATTGAGATTCTCGATGCGCGTCTCCTGCTCCCGAGTACGCTGTTCCAGCACCACAATTCGCTGATACATCGTCTCGACGATCTGCTCGTCCACCCCATTGGCGTATTGGGGCGGTGGTGCCAGCTGGCCATGGCCATGGCCATGTCCATTCTTCAGCGTGCTACCGCTGCTGGTGCTGGTGCTGCTGCTGGCCTTTTGCGGCTGCCAGGTAGCGATGGCCGTCTGCTGAAAGGCCTGCAGCATCAGCTGCATGTGATGCGGCATATCCGACTTGAGGTGCTCCTCCAGCTGATTGGTCTCGGGCCGACCGACAAAGTCACACTTGATCTTGGCAAAGGGACACTTCTCCTCCAGCTGCTCTGGCTGCGGCTGCCGTCGGTACGGACAGCTGGGCAGATGGCGATGCACCTCGATTGGGGAGGCGACCAGGGCACAGCCGAGCGGTGAGTTTGGGCACTTGTGCTTCAGCTGCTCGATCTCGCGACGCGTATAGTTGTCCGGGAAGATGTCCTGCTCCGCAGAGAGCTGCTTATTGTCCAGGGGGCAGCATTGGTTGTGGTTCTGCAGCCAGTCGGTCAGACAGCGCTTGCAGAAGCGGTGGCCGCACGAGGTGAGCACCGGTTCGTTCAGCCAGTCGATACAGATGGCGCACTCGTAGCGCGAGTCCAGAAACTCCTCCTCACCCGATGTGTCCGAGGCGGCATAGTTGTTCTGGCTTAGGGCTAGGCTCTTGGGTGGCTGGACTGGAGCGGCGCCGCCTGCATTATGTGCGGATATGGGCGTGGATGAGTCTAGGCCATGGGTGCTGCTGCTGGCAGCGATGCGTGTCCCATTATTGCTATTGTGCTCGTTTTGATCCGAGTGGTGATGCTTCAGTTGCTTATGTTCTGCCTGGGGTCGCTGCATGTTCTCCGCTCGCAGTCTATCTCTCTCTCACACACTTGCATGGGCCTCCGCAGGGGGGGCACACTTAAAATGTTAATTGGTAATTATCCTAACTTTAACATGTATATACAAAAATATTGCTTTTGCTTTCGAAATTGCTTTGATTTGATGAGTTATCGAACAGCTGTGAACGAATTAGTCACTGCCCAGCACTGGCCGAGCAGATGGTCGAAAAGAGCTGCCAACTCTAGCTTTCACGAAATTAGCCGTACAAAAAATTCGGAATATTTAAAGATTTGTTAATGAAACAACCACCTGAATATAAATATATATAGTCGTTGTTTATTCTTGAGTTGCATGTGCCAGTGTCCGTGAGTACAGACATCACATATATTTCTAGCCAAAAGCAGGCCTCACCTTACGCAAAGCACCGACAAGAAGCAGGCAGGGCAGCCCCAACGGCCGGTCCCACCTGCAGTTCTCGCAGTCTTCAAGCTCCCAGTTTTGCGGTGGGGCGAACGTATAAAAACGCCAGAGGCTCGCGGCGTGTACAGCAATTAGTTGAGAGCGTGCCGGACGCGAAACCATATAAATACAACCCCCGCGATACGCAAAGCTCAAGGAAAACAGACAACATGTCGCTGGTGATTAAGTGCAGGCACAGCCACAACCGCAACCACAACAACATCTATCTACTCTGCCCCATTGTGCTCATGTTCATCGCATGGCAGCTGGGCGCCGGGGGGATTGGGGCAGAGGCCAAGCAGCTGCCACTGGCTGATGCTGCCGATGTCGATGCCGATGCCGAAATTCGTCACGGATCGTACGACAATGTCAATGATGACGTTGCTGCACTGGTCCGAAAGCGTCGCCACTTGTCCGACTGGCTGATAGCCCCAAACACACGCTGGTGCGGACGTGGGAATCTGGCCAATGGCACCTACAACGACCTGGGCGGCGCATCGATGGCCGACAAATGCTGCCGGAAGCACGACCACTGCCAGCTGTGGATAGACGGCATGTCGACTCGCTACGATCTCTTCAACTACCGCCCCTATACGCTGTCACACTGCAGCTGCGACCGACGCTTCCGCACCTGCCTGAAAATGGCCGGCGACGAGGCGGCCAATGCCATCGGAAAGCTCTTCTTCAATGTGGTGCAAACGCAATGCTTCAGCCTCAGAGTGGAGACGGTGTGTCTGGAGCGTGGTGCCAGTGCCGGTAGCTCGGGGCAGTGCCTGCGGGAAGACCTCCGCCAGAAGGCCGTTCTGCGGAGCAACAAACGCTTCTAGACGATTCTCTCACAGCTGCACAGCGGACGGGGACAACAAATGATATCCAACAGGGCACGATCAGGTTTTGGCTTTGGGTCTGGGAGTTTTTATAACCCATCCCATCCCACCCATACCTGCAAGCAGAGCATAGCTATGAAAAAAGGAGCGGACACCCGAACCACTTCACTTACATTGCTGCAACTTAATGGCGAAAATCATTGCAAAATGTTTTGTTTGTTTTGTTTTTACTCGTGAGAAAGGAGGAGAGAGATACAATACCGATATCCATTTAGGTATTAAGCTATAAACATATATATGTATATGTATGGGTATGTCAAGTGCTAATATAAGTGCGTAGTAAGTCGCGATACGTACATAGCTGTAGACCCGTAGACCCGTAGCGTAGGCCATTAAATCGAACATTATAGGCTGCCAGAAAAACAAAGTTTTTCCCATTAGTTTTTCTATTAATTGTAATTAGTAAGTTGTAGTTGTAGTGCAAAAATAAAAGGAATTTCCAAAGAGAAAAACAAATGCGTTAATACTGCCCCTCCATTTCCCCTGCTATACCACAATCATCCATCGATCCATCCATCGATGGAATTTCTCATCTTTAATCCGGCAAACCCTATTGGAATTTCGTACTTTGCACTTGGAGGCCAGCCAGCCGGTATCACCAGTAGCAGTATGTATGGATGTATATAATTCGTATACGTATACGTATACGTTTACATACTCGAGTATGTGTCTGGTTGGCGGAGACTGTGTGATCATCGCCGCATTGACGTCGATGTTGCCCGCTCGATGAAGATGAAGATGATGACCAGTTGACCCGTAGCCGTACTCATCCACTCGAAGCGTAGCGTAGTTCGTCCACTGATTTGTTTTTTTGTTAGGCTGTGCTGCCTGTTGTTCATATGTATTGTGTACCACATAAGCGTCATGGTGAGGGTCTAGGTCAGGTTCCAAGAAACTGCATCACCCATGGGATCAGCGTCATCCAGAAAAGTGTAAAAATAAGTAAATATTTGCTTAGTTTTGCAACAGGCGCGAGGGGGGGCCTGGCTAGTCCGCACTTCCTGCTCGCTTGGTGTCAATGTCAGCAAAATGTAAACAACGTTTTCGCTTTCGCTCTAAATTGATTATCCCCCCCCACCTCACACACACTATTCGAATGTTCGTTGTAATCTGATAGATTGCCTGGCACTCGGTTTCTGATTAACACGTGTATTCTCTGTACAGGTGCAGTACATCTGTTTTTAGCAGTAGTAATCCTAGTCGGGCTTTTCTTATCTTATAATTGCTTGAATACACAACACCACACAGTCCGTTAGGAAAACTTTCAAATGTCTGCTGTCAAAGAGCAGAAATTCAGTTGGCAGCCCAACCGACGTAGGCGCTGAGCTTGCCGCTCATTTTGTATTCTTTTCTTCTATTTACAGTTACAGTCTTAAAATTCGACGCCAAAATTGTTAATTGTATTGCTAAAATTGATATAAAACCAGCCATGGAGTTGTATGAAGACGATAATGTGCCCTGCTGCAGTCGCGCCAGGAGTTTGGCGAGCACAGAACACCTAAAGACATCCCAGGAAGAACTGAATGTGGCCGTGGGCTATGGGTAAGTTGTATGCGCATCAATAAATAGCCTGTTGCGGAGTGCCCAACCCCGACCACCATTAGGAGTGGTTTGCCAGAGACCGATGACGAACGCCCGAAGAACATAAACGAGCTGCGGATGCTCGTGAACGACATACGCTTCATGTTGCGCAGCCAATTGCTGGCCTACGATGCCAAGCTGCTCATTTTTGCAACGGCCGCCAGTAGCGTATGCCCCGACCAGACCCTGGTGCCCGCACCGCCAGCGTTCAAGAACTCCAACAGCGACGACGAGCTGTATGTGTGCCCCAACGAGGGCTGTGACATGGAACGTCTGTGCAAAGCCGTTCAGGACAACTGGCCAAGCTGCAGCGTCATGATGGATAACCTTTGCTCCGTAGAGTCGATGGAAGACATGTCGGATGACGACATAGAGGCTGTTCATCTGCTCCACTGGGTGCTGGCGGACCCCTCCAGTCCCATGCTGCGTCGCACCTCAAGCGTTCACTTGCGCAGTCTCTGCAAGCATCTTGGTGTGGCCCGACCCTCGCAAATGCCCGTCCAGCTGATGAGCATCTGCTATGAGGATGAGCACGTCACCCTGCCCGGACTTAGGACTAGTCGGAGTTACGCCTACTTGGGGATGAACTTCGCCAAGTTGTATCGCTTCCTGGCCACGGGACACTTGGATCCTGTGGGACCGGACACCACCACTCGCCTGTACGCCCAGCCCGAGTCTGCCATGCTACAGTGCCTGGACCCCCAGCCGGAGCCCATGCCGCCCTGCTGGATGCAATCGCGCTTCGGCACCACACAACGAGCACTCGTCATTTGCGCCCTGCCGCCGGAACTGGAGAAACCAAAAATTATGACGGCCGCCAACCAATTCCTCGAGTACATTGTCCACGATCCCACCCGCCTACGCCCTTGCCATTTGCTCTTTTACGATGAAGCTTCAGGGGACAAAATGATGACATACTGGCCGGGTCACATCATTGAGACGCCGCCCCAGCAACGCCGCCGAAATGCTCCTCGCTGCAGGCCCATTCGCAAAGCCACCAGCGAAGTTGGTCGCAAGATCAAGGGTTGGGCTCAGTCATTCTGGACTGGCGTGGTGTCAGTCAAGCGTTATGTGGTGGCCTCCTTTTAGTCCTAGGCGTAGCCGTAGCCGTAGCCCTATCCCTAGCCCCAACTCCTAACAACTGCCAATAGTTCCTACCAGTATCAAAATTGTTCATATCTTAGTCCAAATTTCAACTGTTTATATTGTTTAGCCCGCAGTTCGTTACGTAACGAGTAGTAATTATCACAAGTAAAAGAGAGATAACCGATTGAAGCTGCAACTAATTTGTTCTTTGGTTTGATTTCCAAGTGTTGGCAAATGCCTGTATGCCGCTGAACACGTGAACCGTGTGGATTCCAGCACAGGGGTGGGGTGGCTTGGGTGTGTGGATCGTGTGGATGCTCAATTCAAATTCAAAATGCAATTTCACAATTCGTTTCTTTTGTGTATTTTTAAGTACACCACATTAATGTGTGAACTAAATTTAAAAGCGAAACTAACAAATTTATTAAAGTACTCAAAGCACAGACGCATTTGTGCAGAGTATTGAGTGTCGTAGTGTGTGTTCGTGTGTGTTTTGGTGTTTCTTCTACTGTGTGTTGGGGATATTGCGGCTGCCTGACTGACGCAGCGAATTGTAGCGCTGCACATTCAACGGAAGGTTATCCAGAACGCGACGTCCTCGTAGACACTGCCGATTGCATTGGCGCATATACGCTCTGGCCAGTGCTTTGATGCCCAAAAAGGTGAGGCCGCCCAGCACGGTGCCCAGCAGCTTGTTGTTCACCTTCGCGTACAGTGTGCGGCCCAGCAGGGTGGCAATGCTGGGCAGACTGAGGGCCACATAGAAGCTTTTTGTAGCATTTGCAATGCCCTCCAGGCTAAATAAGTTTTCCTCCTGCAGGATTTCCATGTCCGGATTACCGAGTAGTGCCATGGCAGCGTAGTAGTTATCATCGAGCGGAGCACCGGGCAGCATGTGGCCATCTTCAGCCAAAACTGCAGGACGAGCGATGCGACGGCTGCGCCACAAGCGAATTAAGCGCATGTCCCACTGGAAGTCACGCAGCAGCACCAGCACAGTGGGTATCGTCGGTAGGACTACCATAAGTACTAAGGGCTCCGCCTTGATGAGCGTCATGGCCACGCGAAAGCCAAAGATCTGAATCATTGTGATGGCGCCATAGGCCCCCGCCGAAAGGTAAACCACCGACGAGAGTGTGCCCGGCATCATGGAGTGACAGACCGAGTTGTAGAACCGAAACAGCCATTGGAGGGTCCTATCGAAGGCATTGAGCGGCGGCAACACCATAATGTATTGTGTGAGGCATTGGGTGCAGACGATCGGCTGATTCGGCTGCTGCAGCTGCCGCTGCTGTGCATCGATCCATCGGTTCAGGCAGACGCGATGCACCCACTTGGTGCTGCCACGGCAGCGGCACGGGTGCAGCCAATCGATGCGATGAGGCGGCTGCTCCTCATCGCCGGTCAGGCAAATCCAGCAAATTCGCACCTCTTCGGGTTCCCAATCAAGACGTGGATCCATTTCGTATGAAATTTTCTGCTCAATGCCTGAATTTGGGTTAATTTTGTTAAGCAGTCTGGTTCCGTACTGATCTGTAGATTCCTGCCTGCTCTGTTCCCCTTTACTGCAGTTTGTGCCTCGAGTGAAACTGCCAGTGCCTACTACAACCATATGTCCAGAGATTTCTTAATCATTTGTCATTGTCAAAGAGAGGGATACAAGGAGAGAACTAGCATATCGGAGAAGGAATCGACGATGTATATATATGCATGTTTATATTCCTGTTGCCCATTAACTATCTAGTGGCTGTAACCCTTTCGAATAATTATCACACGATTAGGCAATAGAAAATGAGAACAAACAAATACAAAGGAATTATCCACCAAAGACTTTTCCTCAGCCTCAGGCCCAAACAGGTGGCCTTTTTTCGTGTGGTTTACTTTCAGGCAACGAATGTGGCACATGCCACAGAAGCAGAAAACCTGTTGGCCGACTGGGTGAAAATAGGCGAAGGCCAAGTCCAAGAGCGTGCCAGAAACTGGAACTGCAGACTGGCGGGCTGGCAGGCTGGTAGGCTGGCAGGCCCCCCTTTTGGCCAGTAATTGGATAAATATAATCATAAGCATTCGCACTTACCCTTCTGGCATATAAAACATTAACTTTTGGAGCACACACACAGACACACAGACACAGAGACACAGAGATTATCGCGAATCATAGAGCAACAACACAAAATAAAAGGCGGCTCGAATCGATGGAACTCGACGGTTCCAGCAGGCGCACGCGCACCGACGACTGAGACGGAGACTGCGATTGCGACTGCGACTGGAGACTCCACAAAAGAGAACTTGTCAGCTCGAGAGCAGAAGAACATTTGGCCAAGCAGCCGGATCGAGGCTGGACTGGACTGGACTGGACCTGGACCTGGAATAGATTTTGCAAACAGGCAGAGAGCAAGAGCAAGAGCAAGAGACGCCTTTCCATTCCACTTTTTTGTGCAGCAGGTTGCCGGCCAAGACACAACGGTACAACCATATAAAGTGTGGCACATCGAATTTGGGGCACTCGACGGGCAGCCTTGTGGCATTAGATTTGGTGTTTGCATTTGTTGCGTTTAGAGTGAGATCTGTGGCTGTGTTCTTGGCGCAGGATCAAATGGATTTCACTTGCAATTGATAGTGGATCGTTCAGCCTCATTTGGCCTCGATGAAGCGTTCACCCAGGTTCATGCCCTTGATGAGGGTGTACAGCGAGAAGGAGAATTTGGCAATCTGCAGAGGGATAGAGGGAAAAATGACAGACACACTTCAGCCTTCCACGTCA